TACGTTGAACCGATACTCCCCGAAAATTCTATTTTTACGAGGACATCGAGCAGCGGTATTCGAGAAGTTCCGAGAGGACGATGCGAATTGTCCGGATGATGCGTGAGTTAGGTTTCGATTTTAGGCCGCGCGTAAATCTTCTGCGTAGATGATCGCGATGCATAACGTGTTTGTTTATAATAAGACGAGTGACAAGAATATATTTTTTAAATATGTCAATTAACTATATCAATTAGTACGATTTCGCTAGAAAATTTGACGGCTTCCTCTGTGTTTTTGTCTTCGGGCCAAAAATATTCGCTCGTACGTGAATTTTTTGATTAATTCATTTCGATATGAAAAATACAATTTCGTGTTCACCGTGCCGCGACACCGACGATTGGCGAAATCGCGAGAGCAAGGGAGTGCGAGCTAGCGAACAAGCACGGAGAGGGTTGAATAAACAGAGACCGGACTGTCAGCGCCGACGGACCGGCAACGCGAGTATACAAACACTTCGTAGCAGAACGTAGTCGCGCGGTGAATGAAGCCTGCGGCTTGCTACTCTCCTCTTTCATCTCGTGCATCCTCTGTGGCTCCCTTCGATCTCCGGCTCTATCCCCTCCGCGAACCGAACCGTCGCGTTCCCTCCATCCTCGTCACCGGTTTGCTTTATCAGCCTACGTATTCATCTTCTTCGTTCCTCGTTTCACTCAATGTACATCATGCTCGCGCACGCAAAACGCAGTCAGGTACACACGTAGACTGGCCGTGCAGCGACACGGATCGGAAGGATCAACGCGCGACGGATCGTTCGTTTCCGGCATCGCTGATTCGTCCGAAATGTTTTTTCAACGACTCGATGCATCATCGCGCGAAATGCTTTTCTCGATAAGCACGACGGATGAATGTCCGATGTAGTGTGTACATACTATGCTTTTACGAGTAGTACAAGTAGTTGTCGAGTAGCTCGAGTAGACGATTAATTCCCAAATTCTGCGACTAACGCAGCTTTCCCATGAGCTGCGTCAATGTCCGCGTTTCCCCGACCGTTCCTCTTCCATTATCGACCTTTCGAAACAAACAGCCGTTGATACGGACACCAGTGGATAGTCGTATCTCGCATGTCCCGGGACTTTGTATAATTTTGTTACCGCGAAAAGTGTGAAGCCTCTCTCACCTGCGATCCCCCGCTATTTCGAAGAGTACTCGATACGGGACGAACGGCTCGCACGGAAACGGCGTTGGTCCTTACATTCCGTGGTCTGGCACTCCCGACCTGTCGCAAATCGAAAAATCCGGCGCCACGGTCGATCGATGTTCATCGAGTCGAATCTATTTTAATTGGAACGTTTCGAGGAACTTCGTATCGCGCAGACGAGATCGACAATTGGTAGTTCGAATGGATGACATCGGTCGTCACCGGTCATCGTCCGTTGACCGAGGCAAGAAGAAGCACGGATCGTCGCCGAGGCGGAGATGACGGGACAGCGGAGATTTAATCGAGCGGATCGGTCGGTACCAGCGCGCGTGCTGCCGCGTATGTGGCTCGACTGACCCCTTCATGCGCAATAAATCAATTATCGCTCGTTACGAAGAAAAATGCACCTTCAATCGAATCACGCTACTTAACCCTTATGTCATGGTAACCAAAACGGTATTTCACAAGCACGCGCTCGTACAGACAGACGGGGCTACCCTGTTTTCGAAGCGTCTCTTGATTTGTTCGAGCGTGGTTCGACCGGCGGCTACTAGACTGTTAATGCAATTCTGACTCATGGGTGTGCTTGCTCGTTACCGAGCGGAGTTCAAAAGTTTCCGAGATATTCCTCGACTCGTGTTCACGACCATTCGATCTGCAGGCGCGAAGACGGAACGCGTCGCTACTTTCGCGCGTGTAATTGCCACAAGGCGTATACGGAACTCCGCAGGATTAGTTAGTTAGCGGACATTTAAGCAGAGACAGGTTGAAACGCGAAAGAACGAGGCAGTTAACAGGATCTCCATTTTCTGTACCGTGTTTGCGTCCAATCCGTACGAGAAGACAGATTCGAATCGTCCAAATTTGCCTAATACGACAGCTAAAGGGATTCGAGTCGTCTGCCGGTTCGTTCCCTCGAGGCCAACCTACGAGATTAACGACAATGTTGTTTCTTTTCTAAGAGTTTATCTAAAGTCCTAAGTCCTTCCAGCTATTATCCGCGATCTAATTTAAGCAGCGGCATTTGCTTTCGTTCGTTTCGTACGACCGGCCACAAACAATTGCGCGAGACCGTGAGAATCGTGGTCGGTGACTGGACATTCCCTTCCGAGTGAAACTCGTCGGGAAGTAGAAAATTCCGTCTTGGTCAGCCACGAACTTCGATCGGCCACCGATGAGCATCTTTCGCTCCGTTGAACGTTGAATATAAATTGCAGTTCGAATTATACGATAAATTTATGTTTCACGTTGTACGGACAAAAGTTTATTCTCGATTGTAGAAGTAACGAACCCATCGTCGAGACCGATTCGATACGTTTTTATTACTTCGGAAAATGAATTTCCAATGATATTTTCCGAGTAGAATAAATATCGCTCCAAACAAAAATAAAATCAACACTGAGAATGCATCCGTGCATCCCCACTAAAATGAATTCAACCCCGTCGATATTTTCTTCCTCGTACCCATTTTAAAATATGCTCTTGCTGCAATGCGCTTGATCACATCGACTTTGTTGCACGGTTTTTTCCCACGAGTATGTGCAAAATAAATATCCAACGACAAGGACATTGAAATTCTAAATGAGAGAACATGTTTCGTTAAAAATACATTCATTTTTTCAATTGATCGGATACGTTGAGCGTTCAAACGTTATGTATAGCGACGAATCGTATATGGCAGTTTAAAATATATTTTTGATTGAAAGTGAAGTTCCTTTTTATCCATATGAAAAAATTCGCGTACACGTAGTATAGAAGGTAAACGTCAGCTGTCAAAATTGTTCGAACAATAAATACGCCGATATTATTTTAAATTTAATTTGTAAAATCAGGCTTCCGAGGGTTAAACCAAACTTTGACTCGTGGAAGATCTTACATTTTCCGCGTTGAATACATTTATTTAAAGATGGGGTAGTTTCACGAGGGCCCCAAAGAAAGTCATGGCGCGAAACAGGTTGAGGAGCCCGCGATCGAGAAACACCTTGTTCGGTAAAGTAGCGAGTCAACCGGTCGGCCAAAGGCGGGAAACGTGTAACCAGTCGACGGGTGGTACGAAAAGTAGCCATCGAATTTTCAACGAAGACTCGCGTTCGAGCGCACCGAACCGGACCGCAACGCGTTACACCTATCAAAGTAGGATACTCGATCGTGGATTGACGAAGCGTCGATTACAAGAGCGGTCGATGCGTTTCCACTGCTTTGGAAACAAATACTCGTTTAAAATTGTACGAGTCTCGTAGAATTTTTCGGATGAAACGATTATGCGCAAATAGGGGTAGAGAATAGCGAGGCGAGAGGGAAACCGTGTCGGTGATTCGAAGAGCTCCATGTGACATTCCATGTAATGAAAAGCGTCGTTTCTCGGTGCCGCGCAGCGACGAAACATGAGCACAGATATTCTTGGACGATACTAAAGCTTTCCTCCGGGTCTTCGTAAATATTACCCGTAGACGGCAGGCCAAGCTTAGGACATATTCAAGATCCCTTAAGAGGGTATGTCAGCGTGCAATTTTTGAAGTCGTTTCTGTCCTTTTTTTCACACGAGAGCTACGTCCATCCGATACGAATTGTCTCGCTCACACAACCACGGTTTTTCTGATTGCAGGACGTTAAATAATTCGGACGGCGCAGACTAGAAAACGAGACGCCCAGGAACTAACTATACCGCGATTCTCGGATGAAGAAATAACAAACGAAATAATAAAAACGACGAAGGGAATCGAAGACGAAGGAGCACAACGAAGGAGTACGACGACGATCCACATTGCAGAGACGAAGACGCGCAAATTATACAGTGCGACGTGGCATGATCGTCACAAAAAGAAAACGAAGAAGCAAAAAGAATTTCTCGGATCGCACGCGCGAGAGGATTTAATATTCAGCGCGGTTGAATCGATCGCTGTCGGTTCCGAGACGACGGAGATCGCGAGGGACTTGTGCGCGCACGAGCGAAACGCTGGCGTCGTTTGACCTACCGACCTATCGCTATTGTATTTCCAACGTTACATGCTAATATATTCCGCTTAACCTCCGAACAGTTCGAACCTCGAGACCTGAATCGCGGCGTTCCAATTTTCGTAAGTAGCTAGTGGAAAGGTCGATTCGAATACTCCAAAGGAATCGGTAGACCTCGCGTTCCAGGAATATAACCAAAGATCTGGAAGAGTTTGCTTCCGTCTGACTAGATCGAAGGATAATCGTAGAAGGGAACGTCAGGGATCCCGGTAAAAGCTCGGCGTGTTTCTGGGGCCGTTAGCAGGAATCAAACGTCACCGACGACGCTGTCGGGTCATCATCCTCTTGTTCCCTCCAGAAACGCAAAGATGAAGTCGACGCGGTGCACTCGCAGTTTCGGCAGCGCAACGTCCGAGGACAAGCTAGGCGCATCTCCTTCGGAGGTTCGCGCGACATCCTCCGTCCATCGTTCAAATATTGACACCGCGACCACCACCATCGTCACGGTTGGTACCGCGGTCCTCGACGCAGCTATCACAGGCTGCAACAACGACGTCGTTACCACCACTACGACCACCTGTTATTGTTCGTCGGGTCGTGACACCCTCGAGTACACCGACCCGTCCCATTTCCTCTCGTCGCCGTTGTCGACGTCGAATCACCCGTGTCGGACCACTCGCTGCGATCTCTGCGATCGCCTCCACGGATGCAGCGAACCGCTGGACCATCGAATCGTCGCGGATACCGAAAACCAACGAGTGCGCCGCGACCGTGACAACGCCGCGACGTTACCTTTACCTTTGTCCAGAACGTTCGCTCGCAGCAAGCAAAAGAGCTCGATATTCACCTCGATTTTCGTCACCTCGAAGACGCGCAGGTGGAACTCGTGTACCGAGAGATGGTCAAACTGGACGATGCAGAAGCAGACAACACTTTGGACTCTATTGTTTTTATCGGTTCTCGTGTTCCCTACCCTAGCTGACCATCCGATCGGTACGACTAGTGACTCTTCCAAAGAAGACGGAGGTAAGTCTTTCGCTGTTTTCTCACGATAATTCGACGAAATGTTTCCTTTCGTTTACCAAGACGTCGGGAGATCAGATTGAATATCATACATGCTTTGCTGCTTATAATATCACGCATAGAAAAATGATTTTATAACAAAAAATTACGTACGCATTCCGTCATACGATCGTAACTACATAGTTATTAGTACGTCGTTTTGATCTGAAACGGACAAGATTCTAATCTAGATAATGATTTTAAAAAATAGATGAGATAAAATTGTAACCGTAATACCATCAATCTGAATGCTACATCGAACGAATAAAAACTTATCCGAGAAGCTGTTCGATCGATAGGTTCGAATAAATAGCTATACAGAGTTTTTATTCGTCATCTATTAAGTCTGTCCAAGTATCACGGTTCACAGATTTTCTCAGAGTGAAAAGGGTTCTCACGCTACCATTTGTAGCCTGCGAGCAACGAGATTAGGTATCGATTGATTAATATTTCTCGAGTAATTGATCGATAACCAAACCCGATTAAAAGTTCTGTCGTCGTTTCTATCCAAATGGTTTATTCTAATATATATTACTTACACTGTAGCAATGTTGGCGATGTTAAATCTCATAGCAATAATAATAACCGACACGTTGGGCGTTGATCGATCGCAAAGACCGACTACCTGCGTGATGGTTCGCTAATTGATAAGCAAGCATCGACGCGGCGGCGGCCCATTAATATCATTACGCGGCGAATCGAGTTTATTATGTTTTTGCAAGAGGGGAGGAACGAACCGGAGTGGAAACGCCACGGACGTTGCAATTAAAGAGGTCGAGCGAAAATTCAAATAATTCTCTTTGCGATTAAAAGAAAATAGAAGAAAACGAGAGAGAACGAACCAAATTAAACGCGTATCATGGCAGCCCGATGCATCGTTTCAGTGTTTCGTTCCGCGGGAATTAAAGTCCGCTTTTCCGCAGGGCACAGACCGGTTCCCCATAAATTTCCGTGTATTTGTGCGAAAGCTTTAATCAGTATAAGCTACTTGTAGCTGCAAAACGCTCGAGAGACGGGTCGCCGGGTCGTAAAAGGTAGATCGAGTCCCGAGGGCAAGCTCGTTTCATCCTCGCTCCGAAACGAACATCGCTTTGTCCATCGCACAAACTTTTGCGGGAAACCCCTGTATTCGTAAGCTTACTCGATGGTCCCTCGTTTAGGAGGCATGGGAAAAACTACGCAACGTTAATTTTTCATAATACACGCAGCTTTGATCTTCAATTCCACGAGTGTCCGTGCGACCAGCGTGACAATATTTACGAGTAAATGAAAAGCATTGCTTTCATCGTATCTGCGAGTAGACGATGCGGTAAGTTTTGTTAATTTTCTTCCGATGATAATGTTTTACGTCGTTACTTCCCGTTCGCCATTCGATGGACGTCGATATCCGTCGAATCGATTCCGTTCATTTAAGGAACCCGAACGTGTCAGTTAGTTAAACAGGATGTTATTTCCGAGACACTCATCGACCGACCCGAAATGCAAATCGCAAGTGATTTGCATTTCACGGTTGTTCGCCTCTCGAGGATGTGTACACGTGGCCACGCATTAAACATGATTTTTCGCGCATGCGAGCGTTGCGCTTTCCGATTGGAAACATATTTCACCAGAAGAACCCCTCCAGACGATGACGTTCCGTAGAATACTTCTTTCCGCCAAGGATCTTTGATAAACAGTTGAGGTTTTAATTAAAAGGAAGTATTTAATTTTCCTGGTGGAGAAGGAAGCACGCCGGGTGAGTGCGTAGAAGCACATGCTTCGTAAACATTCGGACTCAAGATTGATTCCACGTAATCCCAGGGTTTCCTCCGGCCTTCATTTTCATAATTAAATTTCGCAGGATCTCGTTTACATCAATTTCTCACGGACAACATGGACATTTTTCTTTTCACGGAAAAGGTAAATTAATTCTGTCTGCTTCTTCTTGATATTAACGCGGCGATTCTCAACTTCCATGCCGTGTTTAAACCCGGACAATTTCTACCAGCTACACCTTTTTAAAAAAATAACTTCCTTCGCGGTAAAACGTAAACCCTCGACCGACGGTAGCTTATCCTTTCTTCGGGGTTTTTGCGCACGCTATTCCCGCCGCAGAATTAATAATGCCAAATGCGTTCTGCTTCGTCTGGAAAACAGTACCGCGACCTACCGAGGGATCGATTCGAAACGCGTCGGTCCTTTTGAGGATGAGAGGCTCGTTACTCGATTCTGGGAATTCCGTTCCTCGTTTGGTTCGATTTCCACACGGACCAGAATTGCCGAACAAGTTCGGTTAATTAATTACGTTCAATTAACTGTAATCGTATCGGAGAAGTTGTTCGATTCGTTTGCCTGAGAGTATCGTCGCGCCTCTAGAAGTTCGCCGAACATCAAAAAAGAGATTTTATCCCCTAGGGCGCGAATTTTTCTAGACTGCGCATTTCATCGCGATTCACGGTTTATTTCTCACGGAATCGTCGGTCGCTGGAGTAGGTGAATTTCAAATGTTAAAAACGCCGAGACGTCGAACACGCTTTTTTACAAGGCTCTACAAATGTTTACAACAAGGCGTCGGTACCAATAATAAATTATCCATTTGTATCGTACCTACGCGTTGGAAGTTGTTTTTAGTTTCGAGGATTCCCCGAGATTATAATTCTTGCGACGTTAAGTACCTTCAAAAATAGAGAAACACAAAACATGGTCGCTCGAAATCGCGTTAACCCTCGGTTATTTACGCGTACTCAAGTGCCGCTCTCCTGTCGACGCTAATTATACATTCCTGCCCTAATGCTCGGTGATTTCAACTCGGCAAGCTTAAGTCTCGGCTGTCCTATGTCTGAAATAAGTATGGGGACCTCGCGTGTTCTAAGCTGACGGAATTTCCAACGACGAGAATAACCAGCCAGAGATGGACAAAATTTTATTCGAACAATGGACGACGTGTAAACACATCTTTTTCTACGAGGCTTCGTTTTCTAGAATGCGATACCATCGTACAAGAAACCGTAAAACCGTAGCGAAAAAGTAAGTCGCGGCCTGTTTAGATTCCTCGTGGATGTTTAGCCGAGTTAAACGGCGCCCGAGGCCGCAATCGGAACGGGCTGGTAGTAAACAATTAACGGCACCGCAGCTCATTCGTGCGAGCTTAATATGTCAATCGATCGCGAGGTCGGGTCTGATTGATTAAAAGTCTCGAAATTACCGCGGGAAATCTGTAGGAATGCAATCACTGTGTTGGCGTGACTCGAGCAAAGGACAACAACGGACGCCTAAACAAGAGACGAAGAAAGAGAGAAAGAATGCATCGAAGCGTTCAACCTTCTCGCGGCTTGTCTCGATCATCCACTTGACGAGACCCTGGCTGGACTAGTAGCAGTCTCTCGAAACGTGAGATTCTCGTTCTGGAATGCGACTCGAAACGAATTTAAGACGTGTTTCTCGCGAGCGACGTTAACCCACGGCTAATATTCCATCGTTTTGAAAGAATTTTAAATCAATACGCTTTTCGTTGATAGTATCGATTAACAGCGAGTTAATGGACTACGAACTTGGAATAGTCTTTTAGACGAAAATCTTTGGGAACGAATCAAAATGTATACATTAAACGGGTATGCAGAGCCTCCCCTTTCGATGTTTTTCATATTTGTAGTCGCGCAAAAATAGAAAGAAATGAAACTATTCAAACATTTTCTACGACGCAACGAGTCGTCTTAGCTATTTAGTAATCAGAAGTGGAAGCAGCAAGCTCAAGCCAAAATGCTCGACTGGCTATATCCGCTGATTCATCGTAGTCGGCGCGGCGTCTCCGGATGCACGTTCCGCGCGAAACGACCGGAATCGGTTTACTTTCGAACCCAATCGAATTATCGTACCCCGTAGGAACTGGTTTTGGAACCATCGAACGATCCTAGCGAAAAGCAACCGACGAGCAATTGGAGACAAAGTCTCTTCATTTCGGAAGGACGTTCGAGAACAAACGGCTCGGAAGTTGAGGACGGGGGACCATTTCTAGCCCGAATGGCCACCAGAGACAGGAGGTGACGCAAGCGATAGCTCTTCTTATCGGGATAATTTTTTTGTTTTTTAACTTACCAGACTAGCAATAAATTCTAGGGAACCTATGTACTTCGTTAACTTGGTTCACGAGAAATTGACAATCGGGAAGTTTGAATTCGTACGCGTTTATAATATGTTAGTTTCATTATCGTCGACTCCAGTTGATCGAAGCAACAGAGCGAAACGCTGGCAAAAAGTGGAATTCGAATCGAACCGTGTTCGAGCAACGCACGGAATCTGGGCTTACAGCAACAGTGAACGCGTGACGCGTGTTCAAGAAATTGTACCTCGTGTCCATGAGTAAAAAAATGCGGAATAAATTATCGACCGCGTTCGTGTGCATCGACGCGCTGCGGAAGGCAATTTGTTATCCATAAACGTACGACGCGCGGTTTCCCGCCGTCGTAGCCGGCTAGTCGAGCAACCTCGACACGGAGAACGACACCAAGTTCACCTAAATCGCGGCCAACCGTCCAAGGGACGCTGTGTAGCGAATATTGGCGGCTGGATTTTGCGGTCCCCCGAACACGCGTCTGTTGGATGTATAATCAGGATATTGGTCTTGCAGACAAATCTGGAATCTCTTGGCAGGATTAACCGGCGCCCACTGGTCGCTCCGAGTGAAACGGCGCGACGCGACAGCCGGCGTCTCGATGGGTGACGGCAGGAGCATTAGAAATGCGCCGCCGAATTGCCGGGACACTCGTCGCACAATACACCAGAACCTCAGATTTGTCTTTTTTTTTTCGCTCCTGATCGCAAGTCCATTCTTGAAATTTAATCGATATTTGGTCCCCGTAAGAATCTGCAGAGACCAAACGAGACGCAATCGTACGAGGTTGTTTCGATCCGACTTCGGCATCGTCGCGTAGGTGGAAGGCAATCGACGGTCTATCCACCCCTTCCATCGGTCTCGAGATAGGAATTTTTCATCGTCGGTCCGCGTCGCGTACCTTTCGAATTACGAGTTTCCAGCGATTCGATTCCTTCGAAGGCCAATGTTGTCCTCGAAGGTGTTGTTGACGATTACAAGTCGTCGCAATTCGGTGGACGAGGAACTGAAATTCGAGTGCAACACCAAGAACACCAGCAGTTGCGTGTCAGAGATAATGCCGAGGTTCGCTCGAGGCTGCCAGGGTTCAAAAGACAGGTAGGGATACCCTCGGTTTCAACCCGACGAGTATTGCTGTAGTCGGAGAGGAAACGTGTTAATCGAATGCATCGCCGAAACGAATTTGACCGTAAGCTCGTTCGAGTTCACTGGTACGTCGCACGATCCGCAGGAGTTGTTTCACCTCTTGATCGGACATTTTGAAAGGGATGGTCTCGATTGCTTTAAGGCGAAGCGACGTGAGGCATCAAAATAGCAACTCGGGTCAGCGAAGTATGATGCGCGATCTCGCGATCGACGAGTCGCGACGAGGCAGAACAGCGAGGAGAAATTACGTTCTCCTTAATACGAGTCCCTCGGTTCTACGGTCGGCGTTACTGGCAGGTGTAAAGCAACTCGGACACGCGCAGCCGGCGAGAGTCCATTCGGTTCGTAAGACGAGTTCTAAGTGCAACCGATTTACAGCAACCCGATCACGTTGACCGGTTGGGGGGATCGGAACCAGTTGAAAAAGTTGCAACTGACACCGCATTCCAGACGCTCTCTTCAAGGTTATTAGCCATTCACCCAAAGGCCGAGGCACTCGGATGGCCTATACCGGTCCCCGTGTAACGTACTTTACAAGCCGCGCACCTCGCGACGACTTCGACGCTCAGAGTTCGAGAACTATCCGATTGTACGCGCGTATCTCATCTCGGTTAATTTTGTGAGGTATAATTACATGCCGATGTCGTTGGCAATTTTAGCGCGAGCTCCGTTATTGGTCGTTATACAAATTTCTCCAAACTTGGTAATAAAGTCGGCCATGATCTCAAGATCCGTTTCAACTGTAATAAATTTTTAAACGTATACATTTTTTTTTTTTTTTTCTTACCGAAAAATGCTTAGCTTCGACGATGTATCGGTATTCTAGAGATTTGTAAATAGAACATAATTTATTCCAAGGACTCGAACGTCGATCATGACTTTCAAGATCAACAAAGACTTTCAAGTCTTATCGAGGATACAGGATCAATCGACGCTCTCGAGACTAGTCAAGCCTGCCCGTCGAGTCGCTTGAAGCGATTCAAATCTGACGTCACAGAGTCGAAGCTCATTAAACTTTATGGAATAAAAGGACAAGAAAATATCGAGGAAGACTGCGTAATTTACCATCGTCGTGGAAAACGTCTCGTACGCTCGATCATGCTTCTAGCGACCTGCCGACTGTTGACCCGTAATTACACCGGTCGCGATCAAATAACCTTCGACCTCGAATAATTCTGACAGTCCATTTGCGTATCCGATTGCTAATCGCGACCCGTCGATCAACGTGGAACCCGCGCCAACGCGCAGACAACAATTTTTCTTTGCGTGGCCGGCAATGGATACCGTTCGAGTTGGCGGGAACGTATGTTTTTTCCTAATCGAGTGATGAAGGAATTGCCCTTTGGCGAATGTACTCGATCGCGAGTACGTTTTCGGAAATTCGAGATGCGGTAGGAATTTTAGATTACGCGTTGGTTATCGATGCCTGTCGCGGCGGATCACGTAACGATAACGCAACCGAAGACAGTCATACCGAATTACGCTCACTTAGTCCAGCCACCCTGGATTAAGATACTCTGGACGTTACGGAAAAATTCTTATCGACGCTCGACAAAGGACCATATACTAAAAGTACGCGCAATCGCGAGCAGAACTCGATGTTTAGTTCGAAGTACGTCAAAGTTTCTCTTTCGATTTCACTGTATTGGCGTAGAACCGACATCGCTTCAACGTAGACCGGTCGATTAGGTACCCGTTTGAATGGTCACCGCCTGTGTCCAATCAAGAGGAAATTTACAGTGTTGCAGATCGGAATGCGATAATGCGTTCGGAAAGCGAACTTTGTCAACCAAGTATTTGTCGAAGCAGTTGCAATTTATTACCGAAATGGATATTTTCGTAACGAAATAACCGTATCACTCGACGCGTGGTTACAGAAATCCTTCTCCACCTATAGACTTGAACGCGGTCGCAACGAATGGAATGCGCCGGGCCAGTGCGTCGCGACGAAGTAGCGCGACGCCACGCGAGGCAATTTGTGCGAACGCGGCGTAATCCTAGCACGAATCGCAATTAACGTTGCGTGATTCCTCGAGCCAAGCAACCAAGCTTGCTCGACCGCTGGTAATTCAAGTTACCACCATCCTCGATCCGAGCCAACCCGTTTCCATCCGTCCAAAGAGAATGTGGATCGAAATTTGTAGAGAAAAGAGCGGAGCTATTCGAAGTTATCTATACGTGAAGTTCGATGTGAAAACGCACCGAATAAGATACAACACACTCCAGGCTGAACTTCCAACCGTATCGCGAATCATAGGGAAATTAAGAAACCTGAGGAAGTCAAACGTAATCCCACAACGGTACATCCCTTCCGTTATATTCGCTAGCAGTCGGGAAAATGACATTGTTTTCGGAGTATAGAACGGCATCGGCTCGTTTAAACGACCGTCTGCCAGAACATTATACGCCGGGGACCATTGTACGCGTGTCGCGAAAAATTGCGCGACAACAAAAACTGCCCAAGTGGGCGTCCATGTAGGCGGCGGTGACGTCGTACACTATGGTTGTCCGATTCAATTTTCTCCCAAGATATTCAAGGAAAATGGGCGTCTTCTGTCAATCCTGGTTGCACTTGGTTTTTAAAGTGGTCGTCCGTGCTTCGACTTCGTCTCGCTCTTTACAGCGTACGGTGCATACAGAGATTCGCCACGCGACATTCGATGTGGGTTCCATTGCGAGCGTCGATCCTTCGTTTGCGTTGGTAAAGAGTAAAACCAATCTCTCGAGGACTCATATATTCCCTTCTTCGTCCAATGTTTCGAGTGTAAAATTTGAAATGCATACTTTGCGAAACTTTTGCGAGGTAACTCTGATTTACGATAGTTCAGTGTCACAATTGATCCCAGTCCTCCTTGAATCTATTTACGATAGCCGTCTGTTCTATGCGTGGTGCTTTGTTTACCGGAGAGACGCGCGAGTAGGCAGCGAGAATACTCGCGCGTGATTAATCGTAGGTTAAAAGCCATCGACGATCTAAACGTGTAGTAGCGGGGGACGAATAGAGCGAAGTCTAGTCTCGAAATGGAGCGACGCGACGCGACGCGACGCGACGCGAGGTGACCGCGTGCTTAGATCAACTCGCGCCCCATCGTGTTTATTCCAATGCCAGCGTCGCGACGTATTTTTAGCGCGGTCCGTTACAATCGAATGTGCTGTGTCAGCACTTGACTACTAGGATGTTCCAGTGACAATGTCGACACTGTAGCAAATCTGTCGTCTGCACGTGAACGGAAAGCGCCCCGTTCTCCGACGCTTTAACCGTTTGCGTACCACGCTTTCGCGCTCTTCAGATTTCGCGTCGAAAAAACCCAACGCATTTTGTCGATACACGTATCTGACGGCGCGCTCACAATTTCAATTTTCTCTTCAGTTTTTTTTCGACATGTAATCGTCGGGGCGCGATCGCGCTCCTTGGCATTTTTCAACCGTGTTTCGCGAAAACAACTCTCGTACGCAAACGGTTGCCGTACAATTTCCCTGGCCTACGTTGAACTCACTGATGCGCGAGAGTCTCGTTCATTAAAAGAAGCGAATCTTTCGCGGTAACTTGGTCTTTAGCTACTCGTACGATCGAGTCGGTCCGATTTGCTGAGAAGGGGACGAGATGGGCAGCGGATATCAACGATCTAGTCAGGTTAAGACAAGGTTGCTCGACCTTGCCTCTGGATAGCGTGTTTCGTTTCCCCGTGGTCGAGCGCTAACGAACCGTAATCGGTGTGCGATTGTAGTCGACGAGAGCCGCGGGCTCTTGCCGTTCAGCCAGTATTCGATCGGTTATTATTTTCACCGTGTTCGAACGAATTGTTGGCCAAGCAATCCTCTGTTTGCTGTTACGGCTTCGCGATATTTTTAAAACATGTTACTCGCCGCAGTGCACTTTCTACCGTAATGGTCGGTTTCGCCACGAATTCAACTTCTACTGTAGCTAATTAATAACGCACAGACATTATTTCCTTACCGTTATTATTTTGATGATACACGAAAATTGTAGTTCGATTAACTAATAAAATACATTTCTCGCTGATCTCCCAGAATTTATTTTTATACTTTGAGCCAGGTATACCTTCCAGGTGGTTCGCTGAAGAATACGATTTCTGTTTCAGTATGCCAAAGTATAGACATACGAAACGGAGTGCGAAACTTCTCGAAACTAAAAGGATGCCGGATAGTCGAAGGCTTCGTACAAATTCTCTTAATCGACAATGCGGAACCATGGGAGTACGCCAACATTTCTTTTCCGGAGCTGAGGGAGATCACCGGCTACCTACTTTTATACAGGTAAGTCCGTCGATGCTTGAACAATATATCATTCGCACGCGAACAAACGGACAAGACCAACGGCAGACCGGTCACGTTCAAAAGTACAAACGACCACGCGTGTCAGTTTCGACGATTACCTCTCTTCCTCTCGTCGAGGGTCGCTAAACTTCCTGTCGGTTGTACGTCATTATTATCTCGCCAGTTCCTTTATTTTTTTCCTTCCTTGTACTTTTCGCTTCCTTCCCGCCCGTTTTTTACAGCCTTGTAAAACACGGTCCGAGATCCAGGATTTCTCCATAGGCAGCCGTCTTCATTCTTCCTTTCTGGTTTGCATTACAGGGTAGACGGTCTGCGCAGCATCGGTCGCCTGTTCCCCAACCTGACGGTGATTCGCGGTCATTCTCTTTTCATTAACTATGCTTTGGTCGCGTTCGAGGTGATGAACCTACAGGAAATCGGGCTTCACAGTCTCACCACGATTCAGCGAGGCTCCGTTCGCTTCGAGATGAATCCTGCGCTCTGTTACGTGGACACGATCGACTGGGACTTGATAGCCAAGGCTGGCAGAGGTGAACACGTCATCACGGTAAGTCAACGGATAATACATTTTTTTAAAGAATATATTTCTATACGTGCATCATCGAAGAAAGAATAATGCTCGTGTACTCTATTCAACGAGACGAGCCACACCAAGTATAAACACAAGCACGCGAGCAGTGCAGAGCCGACTTACGGATTCCGCATTTCCGCAAAAATCTAACCATTTTTTAACATGTTTCCATCTTACCCTGTGACCATATTTACCAGTGAAGAGTACCTGGAATCATAAAGTACACATTTGAAAATCATTTAGGTTTCTGCCGGACCTTTCCTGCAAGAACCCTCGGCAAGGGACCATCATAACTTGAGTTGTAACATGCGAAAGCCAATGAACGTAGTCGCGAAACCGATCACGTGAAAAGCGAAGGAATTGTTTGTTTTTACTTAGTGACTCGTCTCGTTGAACGGACTGTAGTACAAAGCCGAGCCGAAAAATGTAATGGATCGGATCCACGAGTGGTCCGGGCATCGCGTAGCAAAGTAACCTCGCTTTATGGTATCGGATTCGGGAGAAGATTGATAACCAGTTCGGCTGGAGGAGTCGTCCCGCAAACGAAACGATATCGTTTAACGAAGTATATCGCCAATTCGTTTCCTTCCCCGTAGCAATCGCTAGGACGTACATATTTGTAAAACGACATTTCTACAATAATGACGGTAGAATCGTGGCCATGAAGTAGAACTTAAATGGTCGGTTTCCTTGGCATAGGTTGACTCTGTCCCCCTCGTAGCAAGAAATCGCAATAGCGGCTAATAGCGGCGCCTTCTGGTACGAGCCAAGTCGAGACACCGTCTTGGCAGAAATTCTCTATCCTGTCCGGGACCATTATTCCAGCCAGGAGCAATGAACCGCAGCCTGTTGGCTGGCATCGGCCTCATCGGTCAGCTAGACACGGTTGCTTTTTTTTATCTGGATACAAATATCCAATAACAAATAAATAGTGAAGATGGAGATGGATCCAGGCAAATTACCACTTGTTACTCGACGGTGCTCGCGGCCTACCTCGTGGAATAAAAATCAGAATTCGAACTTCAAAATGAAATATAATCTCCGCAACATCCTGTTCTGATTGTTATTATTCGAAATATGTATCTAGGTAAAAATTTTGACCGTTTCTGCGCTCAGTCGGCGGTCCAGACGCGTTGCGACGAGTGTCGACGCCGCTGGAATTCATTCGCTAGTGTCGTCTCGCTCGCTTTGTGTTTCGGGAAACTCCGTCGGCGGAGTTTCGAGCAAGCACGCGCTATTTTCTGCCAGAGTTCTTTGTCCAAGAATACGCTCTCGACGTAGACTATCGCGACTAGGTTTCGTCGAACGTCGCGGGACGAGCTCCAGACGATCGCCGCGCTCCACGAGCAAATGCTTCCGGCTCGACGATCCCCGACGACGATTTTACTTAGTCGGAAGCAATAATATCGCCCAGTTCCAGCATAAATCCGAGACTCGCGTCCTGGCAGCGGTCCCTTGACCGGACTATTTCTGGCGTAGACCGTCTGTCCTCTTGGTAACGGGGTAATAATATCGTCGTCGTGTCCGCGAAAAGGTGGATCGGGTCATTTTCGCGCGTACCGTCGTTTCAAGGAAACGGAACGAATTCGTCGCAGAAGTGAAACCCTCGAGAGCTTTCGTTCACGCGCCATTTGCAACTTTGTCGACGGAACTTTTTTGCGAACCGACGATGCGGCACTTGTTGCGGAGTGACCATCCCTTCTAGTCGTCGACGCGATCCGCCGCTAACCTTTTCCCTGTCCTGATTCGAGACCGATTGCTCAATGGTTGGTAAGAGTACCTTTCACGACGCGAGGATCCATTTATCCGCACGAGCGTGACGCCCATCCGACCACGTTTCTGCATTAAACCCGAACCTCTGGCCAGAATTCGCAACTTTGTTTCGAGTTTGCGATCTCTCCGTATTCAGAAAATCGTGGAGATGAATAGACTTTCGGACGAACGTGGACTACGTATCTCGTTTGTAACGTTTTGGGACGAAAGAACGATCGCATCGTCGCAAGGCCAGGTCGTGGTAGTGATCGATGAAACGTGACCAGGTCAGAGGGTTAATTAGCATCCGGCCGACCGACGCGAAGGAAAGTTCGTGGTTCGAGGCTTTTCGACTTTGCGTAATTCGGAAGAGAGAACGTGAAGCGAGTTTCCGCGATTCAGTTTGCAACTATTCCTCTCCAAAAAATCTTATAGTCGTGCCGTTGCTTTGCAAGAACTCAGCTCGAATCACAGGTCACAGGTAGACTTTCGTCGCGTGGTTATACAATCGAAAATTAAGATCTAAACTGACCCGTTACACGCGCTCCTCATTGTTTAACAGTTGGTGACCACCACCTACCCCCCAGGTCAGCATCCCCTATTTTCGATCGACTTCTGACCTCGATCTTATGCCGCGTTTACGTGGCGAAAGTTTGATGTACCAGTCACGAATTCCGATTCCTCGCCTCTCCCTGGTTATCGTTCCGCAATCTACGTAATAAACTTACCGTACTTAACAAATGCCTTCGCGTTGCATCAGAAGATTTCGAGAAAATAAGCACCGAAGTCTGAGCTAGGACAAGAGTTTTACGTTCAGCTTCCCTAGGCGTATGGAAATGAAAATTTGGTAAGGTGGAGAAATAGCTCCACGACGATAAAAATAAATACTAGTAGGCGCCAGACTTATCGATCCGACCACGGTCTCTATACTTTTTCTCAGGAGTCGAGGAATTCTTTCGTTTCGTGCGTGGTTAATGACGAGATGAAAACCGCTCTCGTTTCTGATTAAACAAGTGCCACCCCGCGTGGCTTCTCCGACGTACATGGTCGGCGAATTTTAACGCCTCGCTCCATGAAAGTGACTCTCGCCGACTCTAGCTAGCTCGCTGTTCGATGTTCTTAACAGGGTTGGGCGTTATTTCAACGAATTTTTATTTCAGTAATTATTTATTACTAGCTGCGCCCCCTGGTTTCACCCGCATGGAATATTATTCCTTTTCTATATCACGTTCGTGATTGTATCGTTCACTCGCGTACGTACAATGATTATTGTAGTGTTTATATAAGTAAGTTCGTAACAGCTGAACGCATTTAACTGGATGTAATGCAGAGATAGGTTTTTCTTAAATGTAAATTTTAATGACGAAATCACAGACAAACAATTCAATTTTATTTATATGTATAGATTCGAAAGTTTACACGTGAGAATAAATAATTACATCGAAGAAACCAAATACAATATTTATTCGCAACGCCTACGAGACACCGAAACGTATTATTTAGTCGCTTTGTCATTCATTTTCTACGCCTTTCTGTTTACAGGGAAATAATCCAAAGAACGGGTGCCCGGTGTGCGAGAAAAACTGTCCGCGAAGTGTGACAAAGCCAGGCGAGACATTGTGCTGGAACCAACAACACTGCCAACAAAGTAATACCTTCGTTCCTAAGTATAAGCGAACGGAAACATTCTCTCGGTTATTTTGCGTCCGCGTAACTACCATTACTCGTCAAGCTACAGGGTGCGACGATCTTCTTCCATTTGTTTTCCGCTACGGTTCTTTCGATTTTAAGCAAACGATCCACGATATCGTTCAACTTGTCGAAACCTCGGCTTGAAACTAAAAAAGGAACCTTTGAGACGCCTTCGAAATTGTTGAAGTTACAACGAAACTAAATAGGAGAAAAATGATCGCACTCTGTATACGGTTCGCCGAGTTTCACAATTTCATGCCCGACTCCCTTTCAAATTTTGTATCCGGCTTCCTGTTAATTAGTTAAAGTACCGAGGGTCACCGCGTTGCACGGGCTCGTAGCTGACGCATTTTCGCAAAAAATAACGGTAATTATATGCGGCACATATGCAAAACAAGGACGCGCATATATCACAATGCGAAATTCAGCGAACGCGCACGATACCGCTGTGCGAGAACGCGAAGCAAACAGGATTTCGAGTTTTGGAGGCGGCATCACCGGTACGAGTTCAACGACTCTCTGTGTACGCAAACGCGCCGCGATCATCGATTGCCGATGAAACTGCTGAAACGCCTATCGTCCTAGGTGCTCGACTTTCCCGCGAAATCTCAATGATGAGAGAGAAGTTCGACGCGGTCGAAACGATAAAATTAAAAGTCCTGTCGTTCGATCGCGAATAAAATATGTATTCGAGTCACACATGAATAAAAATAATCTTTGCAACGTCAATTCTGTCGAAGGGTCAATTTATTAAACTATGCACTTTCGCAAACGCTGTCGGTTTAATCTTAACAACTACTTTAACGATAGATAAAATTTTATTCATGTCTGACGTCGAGGCTCGCGAAGACGATTCTCGGTCGACTCCTCTTCATCGGCCGTAAACGAACAGATAAAGGGACTCGTGTTTCTAGCGGTTATGTTTGGGCGAGCGTGGGTTCCGAAGCGTGAGCGACTCATTTGTCAGCGACACGATGTCGTTCGTTTCTTTCCTTCCTTCTGAAATGATCCGATTATTCGTTGGCCTTACGCAAAATGGAGACTGTCCGTCCCGATTCGTTTCGTTCGGAGAAGGGGCGAAAAACTGGCGACGCGTGACGTCGACCACCGTAGGCGTCGACGTTCACTCGTGGGCGCCACACCGTTGTATTGCGCCTGTACCGCACGGTGGTATGAAACGTGTCACGAATTACATATATTTTTTGTCAACAAATTACATTACAAGCGAGTCGATCAATGATACCGTCCGTTAACTAAAATTTCTATAACATCATCGCAACGTTTTACGATGTCCTTCGAATCGATTAATCGTATACCGTTTGTCTCTTTATTAAAAATGATCGCGTAAATAAAGTGAAAAGTAAAACGAGCCATTTGCAGCGAGGGAGTACATCGGTTCCATTTTCTTTCTTACTAGTCGTAAAAGTCGTAACTGTTTCATTATCGAGAAACGTTCCCCTTCGCAAAACGTACAGGGGAAGCTCGCACGTCGCCACGTGTCCGAACGAAGAACGTGACAGGATTTCTTGCTAGCGTAGCCGATGCTACGGCTGGGCCTTCTCGTCGAACTTCTCTCTGTTCGAATAGCCAAATATTCTCTGCCCCATAATAAAAAGTATATACGATTACGATACATTTATGAATAAGTAGAAAATTATACCGATGCTGGAACGAAACAGTTGTGATTTTCGAGGAAAATGTTTTTCGCTAGCATAACGAGATTTTTCCATTTCAGTTTGCGACCCGAAATGCGAGAACAACGCCTGCGACGGGAGTGGGAATTGTTGTCACCCATCGTGTCTCGGTACGTGCACCGGTCCGACCATGCGCGACTGCATGGTGTGCAAGGATATGATAACCGCCGATAACGAATGCAAGCCGAAATGTCCGAACGGCTTGCTGGAGTTCATGAGCCACCGGTGCATCGACGAGGACAGGTGTTATCGAATGGAGAAGCCGCGGGAAGCGTACAACGTGAGAAATTACCCGTACAAGCCGTTCAATGGTAGCTGCGTGATGGAGTGTCCTCCAGGTTTCGTGGACGAGGAGATAAACGGGAAGCCGTCGTGCAAAAAGTGCGACGGTCCCTGTCAGAAGGAGTGCGCCGGGTCGAACGTGGACAGCATGGCTTCGGCGCAAAAACTCCGCGGCTGCACCCACATAACCGGCAGCCTCGAGATCCAGATCCGCGGAGGCCAAAACATCGTGAAGGAACTGGAGGACAGTCTCAGCACGATAGAGGAAATAGACGGCTACCTGAAGATTGTGCGAAGTTTCCCACTGATATCGCTCAACTTCTTGAAAAATTTACGGATAATACACGGCAACGACATCGATAACTCGAAATACTCGCTGGTCGTGATGGACAACCAGAATCTCCAGGAGCTGTGGGACTGGAGCTGGCATCGCGACATAAAGATCATGTCGAAAGGCGAACCAGGCAAGGTGTTCTTCCATCTGAATCCCAAATTGTGCCTGTACAAGATCGAGACGTTGCGGGAAAAGGCAGGCTTGAGACCGTTCACCAACTACGAAGTGGCATCGAACAGCAACGGCGACAAGGTGGCGTGCAACGTGACCGAGTTGAGGACCAGAGTCGGCACCAAGTCGCCGTGGGGTGCGGTGATCGAGTGGGAACCGTTCGTTCATCACGACGCCAGGTCGCTTCTGGGCTACGTGGTGTACTTCATCGAGGCACCGAACGGAAACGTGACGATGTACGACGGTAGGGATGCGTGCGGCGGCGACGGCTGGAAGGTAGACGACGTAGCGGCGAATATGAACGCCAGCTTGATGGAAAGCTCGAAATTTCCTGGCCAAGAGGAAAAGAGAGTCCACACGCACTACCTGTCCCAGCTGAAGCCGTACACGCAGTACGCGTATTACGTAAAAACCTACACGATCGCTACTGAAAGATCCGGGGCCCAGAGCAACCTGACGTACTTCAGAACGATGCCAGAGGCACCGGAGCCACCCAGATTCTTAAGAATTTGGACCTCCTTGAGCGACGAGCTCAGCATGTCCTGGTCACCGCCTCTGAACAAGAACGGAAACCTAACCCACTATCGTATCTTCGGTCGATGGGAGCCTGATGACCCGAACTTCATCGATCAGAGAAACTATTGCGAGGAACGTAAGTGATAGTTAGCACTATTTTTCGTACCTGGAACGTAGAGATTTATTTGCGAGCGAAACGTCGAACTGCCGTGAATTTTTTTAGCAATGCTTCTAACGGACAAAAAAGCGATCTCGATCGAGGAAGAGGACAGGATTCGGATGGAGGAGGAAGAGGAACGACTGGAGGAGGAAAAGAAGCAAAGCATGGCGAAGGCTGGAACCTGCGATTGCACGGATCGTGAAAACGATCAGTCGCTTCGCGAAAAGGAAGCCTCGAGCTCGATCGCCTTCGAGGATGCTTTGCACAATCAGGTGTACGTCAAGCGTAAGCTGAGAACGAAACGCGACGTCGGTGACCTGTCTTTCGTCCCCTCCAGTCGTAGAACGAAGGCCTTGGATCGCGAACAGGTAAGGTCACCTAAAATTCGGCTAATTCCCATTGGTTTGCCTGAACTTCTTTCATCGGTTGATTCGATTCTTTTCGAATGCGTAGCCTATTGCGGACAAAATGGAGAATGACACGTACGTGGTGTTCGAGCGACTCGTGCCAAGTACGAACTTGTCGTTCGCGATGAAAAGTCTCCGACACTTCGCCATCTACAACATCGAAGTGCAAGCGTGCAGGGCACAGGAGAACGACACGTACAAGAAATGCTCCACCAAGAGCATGAGAACGTACCGCACGTTGCCGTTGGACACGGCCGACAACATTCCTTCGAACACGTTCGAGATGAGTACATCTCGAGAAAATAACAGCCTGACGACGATGGTCACTCTTCAGTGGGAAGAACCGCCGCAACCCAACGGCTTGATAGTGACCTATCACATCGAGTACAAGAGGGTAGACATTCAAAATGTGAGTAGAATCGCGTTTACTTCTTTCCGTCGTCGAATTCCTTTTTTAACGGTTTTCTCTGATCTAGTACAAACCGACGGTGATCTGCATCACGAGGCGAGACTTCACGCAAGCGGGGAAATCGTACATCCTAAAGGGTCTCCAAGCTGGAAATTACTCGGTGAAAGTAAGAGCGACGAGTTTGGCAGGGAATGGTGCGTTCACGGAAGTCAAGTACTTTTACATCGAGGAACACAACACATTCGGCACCTTCTGGGTGATCTTCTGGTTGGTGTTCTGCGTGATCTTCGCCATTCTCTGTTTGACGACGTATCATGTACTGAAACAGAAGTACATGAGAAACGACACAAACTCGACGCTCATAGCGACGGTGAACCCGGACTATGCGAGCGCGACATACGTCCCCGACGAATGGGAGGTGCCCAGAGAGAAGATCACGATACTCAAACCTTTGGGCAACGGTTCGTTCGGAATGGTGTACGAAGGTATAGCCCTTGACATCGTGAAAGGCAAGCAAAAGGTGCAGTGCGCCGTCAAAACGGTCAACAAAGACGCTACCGAACGGGAGCGTATCGAGTTTCTCAACGAAGCGTCGGTGATGAAGTAAGTTTTCATTTGAAAGTGTAATTACAACTTTTATTTAAAAAAAAAAACAAAAACACGAATAAACCATTGATCTTGTTTCTTGCAGGGGTTTCGACGCCCATCACGTAGTGAAATTGTTGGGCGTGGTGACACGCGATCAACCGACGCTGGTTATCATGGAATTGATGATAAACGGTGACTTAAAGAGATACCTGAAAAGTCACCGGCCGGAAACTTTCGAGGACAGCATCAACCACACACCACCGAAATTGGAGAGAATACTCCAGATGGCGATCGAGATAGCTGACGGCATGGCCTACCTCGCCACGAAGAAGTTCGTCCACAGAGACTTGGCTGCCCGGAACTGCATGGTCGCCGAGGATCTCACCGTGAAGGTGGGAGATTTCGGAATGACAAGGGACGTATACGAGAGGGATTACTATCGGAAGGGCAGCAAGGGACTTCTACCAGTCAGATGGATGGCACCGGAAAGCTTGAAGGATGGCGTGTTCAGCAGCTATTCCGACGTATGGAGTTACGGGGTGGTGTTGTGGGAAATGGTGACCTTCGCGTTGCAACCTTATCAGGGACTATCCAACGACCAGGTAAGCATAAATTCGATCGACGACTAGCAGCGTATTTTTCAAGACAATTCTAACCTTGCCACTCGTGATTCATTTCGTAGGTTCTGCGGTATGTGATCGAAGGAGGAGTTATGGAGCGGCCGGAGAATTGTCCCGAGCTGCTGTACGAGTTGATGAAGCGCACATGGAGGCACAAAGCGACCAAGAGACCAACGTTCATGGATATCGCGACGACGCTTCTGAAACACATCGATTCCGAGAACTTTCAACGTGTTAGTTTCTACCACAGCACGGAGGGAATCGAAGCGCGTAATCAAAACAGATCCACCTCCCCGCAGACCGATCAGTAAGTACACCTAAATTTCTGACGTTCGCCTAGCATACGAGAGCTTATGTTTCGTTGCATCGATTCGATTCGATTCGTTTTTGCAGGCACCTGGAACTATCTACCTTACAAGATTTGCCAGAGGAGGAGGCGGAAGGCGAGGAGGACTCTCCTTTACGGCAAGATTTCGGTGACTTTGCCAGCTTCGATCCTAGTAGTATTAAGAACAGCTTCGAGTCTCGCTACAGGATAGACGCTTACAGCGATAACTCGAAGGCTACGATGAATTGCCACAACACAAACTCCTCGCATGTTCCGCTAAAGGCGGGATTCGACGACTTTGATGGAGTTTCGGCAAATTCGATCGTCTCTGGCAAAGATACACCGAACATGCCGTTCATGGAGGACAGCCTGAAGTCCGTCAAGAGCTCGCCTTTCATAGACGCGAGGAGCGGGTCTCGGAGCAACCTCAGCCAGCTCTCCATGAGCAACAAGTCAGGAAACAGCGCGATGAACGCGAACAAGCAAAGCTTCCTGAATAGCCCGAACTTCTCCAAGCTGGCCAGTCCCGACTACGAGAACGGTAGCCCGGAAATCCTGTCAGCCGTCGAGAATAGAGAGACGGTGACGCTACGAGTCGACTTCCCGTCCATGGACACTATCGATATCGGCAACGAGAAAAAGGACTCGATACCGTTAGCCATCGAGTACGTGAACAAGTCGGAGACACTGAACAATGGGTACATCGGTGGCGCGACCACGTAGTCGTAAACGCGTTCGTGGCGTGAGTTACTGCCCAACCGATATCGCGACTCGAACAGTGTTCCCCGAATCTACGAGTCGCGATGAAACATTTCTCAAGTGCATCGACCGGTGAAGTGTGTGTTCAAACGTGCAACGATGTGAGTGCGTCGAGTCCAAAGTGGCCGGGAAGTCTGACATGAACATATTCGGGGTATTCCAAAACTGAACGACTATTCGAAACCGGCAGTGTCTGTGCGACGATTCGCGAGCCCGAAGTGCTCGCGACGAAACGTTCCAAAAATCCCCCGACACTGAGTTTTCTATACGCTCAAGCGATACGTTGGACAAAAGTGCGTTTAGATAGATCGGGGTCATTTTAATCATGTAAGTTTTAATTTTAAGCTTTTGGACGCGATCGGACGCGTATCCCCGATCCTGTGACGATTGACGATTTACTATTTTCGTAAAGTACGCGGATGTCTCGATTTTCGTCTCTCCCGCAACAACTTATTCGTAAAAACGCAGAGACGCAAATCTTTATTTTTGCGCGTTAACATTAAAACAGACACTGCCTTTTTAGACCGAGAAATAACAATAAATAGCGGAAACGATGGAACAAATTCCGATCAATCGACGACTACTAAACGAAGACGCGCGACTACCGTCTTTTCACGCCGGGTAAACATAACAGCCGCGATTGCGGCCGTGACACATCTACGTAATCGCATCAAAGATTTATATTATTTAATTGTTTATATTATATCTGCATACGGAGTGAACGAACCACTCTATGTATGCGTGTCTATATGTATATACTTGTGTGTCTGCGTGTATGTATGTATGTGTGTGCGTGTGTGTGCATGTATGTATGTATGTATTCTGTTACATTACCATTATTTCAGAGACGCGCTTGTTCGAAACTAACCGTAACAAAGAAAAGTCGGCTTCCTTTCTGTCAGTTGACCGTGTCGAAGCAGGGAATCGAAGTGGCAATTAAGCGCATCACCTTGTAACTAGGCGGTGCGACGATTTTATATTTTACAAGAGACACGCGTATCGCGCTTAGCTGCCATTTTGCACGATTTTAAGCTTCTACGCGATTATTAATATCTACAAATTAGGTTATTCGACGTTCGTTGAAGAGGGAATATACCCAGAGACTAAGCTTCAAATTTTAATTGCACGGAATGTTTCGTTTAAAGCAGAAATAGATACAGATTTCAAGAGGGGATGAAAGCAGTGATGAGCAAAACCCTAGGCTTCGAATAAATCTGAAGTTTGCTGATATGTGTGTCTCGTTTCCTCATTTAAAAATTTTCCAAAGAAGGAAATGAGACAAATATATCGGCAAACTAGGGTTTTGCCCATCTCTGGATGAAAGTATCAACAAAATGTTTTTACGACAGTTATTTGATACAGTTAAAAAACGAATCAATTTTTTTTCAACGGAACCTTACATATTTTTACCCGCAACAAGATCACATTTCTTTAAACAAATACATCGATCCATCGTACTTGGTCATTTATCGTTATATAAAATCTTAAATAGGAGATTATGTTTAGTAGATTTAGCGCAACCCGGCAGTCGGTCCAACGAGAGCAGAGGACGAAATAAGAGAAAAAAGAAGCTGTACTCTTGTTATACTAACTAGCAGGTTGCGTTAAATTTACTATGTACACCCTCCAATTTGTGCTTTTATATGACAATAAATGACCGCGTATGATGGGTCGATGAATTTGTCTAAAAAACATCTTTTTGATAGCTTCATCCCCTCCTAAGATATTTAAATATTTCCATTTAGATGAAACACCCAGAACGTAACGATCAAATTAAAACTCACTCAAAGTTTAGCAGTCTCATTCGAATATCAAATATTCGGTCGCGTCTCCGCGTATATTCGTCCCAGTTTACTTCGGGTGAACACGAGAAACCGCAATTCCCTTCAATTCCTGCGCTCCGACAACTCATTTCCCCGAAACTTCTTCCCCTGACCTGTGTGCAATAGAAAAATGCTTGATTGGTGCTAACGCGAGCGAAACGAATCGACGCCGACTCGATTCGAGTTTCTCGTGTTCACACCACGCGTGATTAATACAAAATCGAACCATTCGGAGGCATGATCTCAGTATGCTTTCGAATAGACGAGAGAACGTAGACTGTCTATAGCTCGAAGTCGAGAGTCGAGATCGATCGACGAAGGAAATAGGTTCGAATTCGCGAATTGTCGTGGAGTGCAAACACTATCGTCGAGCAAAAAAAGCGAAAGAAATATAATTACGTACGAACAGCAACGCGCCACGCGGTTGAGTCTAGACGTAACGAGCCTCTAACACATAAGACTGATTAGCTAATCCCATTTTATTAACGCCCATGTTTGCTGAGTAAGTTTAACGTTGTCGAACGAAATGGTAGAAGTTCCATATACACATGTATACGTATATTTTCTCATCTCTTTGCGAGATCCATCCTCTTTTTCTTTTTCTTTTTTTTTTTGCTACGTCTCCCTTTTTTTCTCCTCGAGACTTATCGTCAGCTCGTACTTTCTTTCTTTTTCTCGCGTACTTCGTGCACGGCTAGACGAGGAGGCTGTTCCTCCGAACGTACCAGGACGCGAGAAAAAGAAACGTACGAAGCAACCGTGAACAGAACTTAAACGCTTTGGAATCGAATTCGTGTAAACCACCGTTCGTTTTGTTGACGCCAGGCTTTTTGGATGGCATTCCGAAAATGGACACCGATATTCGATTCGACTCTTACGTCCTTTACAGTCTTCGCTCCTAGAACGATCTTTCTGTCCTCGCTACCGTTGGCTATAATATTCAGACGTTTGCTGTTTAAAAATCAAACGTTTATTCAAGTATTCGTATGACCGAGGACATTCCGTTGACGCACGTAGTATCCGTAGAATACTTTGAACGCAAAATTATCAAGATCGCGAAAGGATCGACCATTTTATAGTTGATTAAGTAAAATAACATTCTCCGTGGGCCAAGGATCAAACAATAACTTGATGTTATTCGACAAAAGTATATATTCAAAGGTTTATCAAGGTACACGATGAGTCGCAGAAGTATTCGATCGTTAACTTTATATTGTTAGGACAAAATTTACAGAATGCTCATCGATAAATGCTTGTCTGGGAAATGACAGTTTGATGGAACGAAAATACAGTGGTACATATCAAACAGTTGATTTATAATATGCTAGTTGATTGACTGTTTAGCACGAGAACAATATTTTTGTGGATGCTAGGTTATTCATAGTTTCATAGTTTATTTCTATTTCTACTTTCGTTCCATCAAACTGTTCTTTTTCCAGGAAGCATTAAATACGACGAGCATTCTATAAAATTGATTTATTTCTGACCCGCGTCTTTATTTTTACCCTGAACATTTCTCGGTGTAATTTTTAACTCGTAACAGAAACTCGCAACGCTGTTCGTTACGTTACTTTGTGTAATGAATCGATTCAATCGTTTAATCGACTGATATCGAATATTTCCGCGAGTCGGTGTACCCAATGCCGTGTGAGAAACTAACTGTATAGTAACGAGATTCGAGCACCAGTGACCTAATACGTACTACCTGCTTCATTTGTTACGCTTTACACATTACTATTGTATGTTAAGTCGAAGCAACGAGAATCATAGTAATACGAACGAATGTGGAAGACGATCGCGCGACGAGGTTCCTATACTATGCACGTTCCCTATTCGTTGAGTCAAAGTGCCAAGCCGAGGACCTGTGAAATCGAGAAAAGTCGAACGCGATTCGGAGATTTCTTTTCATGGATCTACGCTGCGCGATCGCTCGGGTACTTATCGTCTTTAATCACGACTGACATAGGGACGTCGAGATTTTTTTTTTTTTTAAGGAACACTCATTCGAGAGAGATAAATCTGGACGTTCCTCTGCAAGCTTCTTTTGTCCTTTCAATGTACTTCGCAGTTTTCCGCGGTCTCGCTTAGCATAAGTTTCACCCTCGTTTTCGGTCTCGCGGAATTTTACGCGATCCGCCGCTCTTCTTTCAATGTTTAACTCGTTTGTTAAAGCGACCCACAAACGCAGAGGTTTCCGACCGATTTACCCGCGGACAGAGATGCGCAAAATTTTCATGTTCGTAAAATTTTACTTGTCACTGCCGATCTCAAATCAGTCGGAAAACGCTCCGACAAAGGTCGCGTTGTCAACTGTTGTATTATAAACATTGTCAAGCCTCGCTCGTATTCTGAAGTATTTAGTGTAATACGGATAAACAGTTAACGCTTAAACCATATGTATACTCAGTGCGGTACAGGGTGTCCCTCGAGATACGAATCGAATTTTCAACCGGCGATAAGTTGCAAGAATAAAAATATGAAAAACTAAAATTTAACGAAACAATACGAAAGCAAAACTTTATTTTGGAATTTCCATCGTTGCACCTTATCAACGATTAAAAATTCGATAAATTTCTCGTTGTCGAACATGCTGTACACGCGCGCACAGGCCCCGTATGCGTAAGACATCGTAAGTTTAAATTCGAAAAAAATGTTTCCTACGAAGTGACGAGTTCTCTCTATATCATACAAAGTGGCCCGTGGTTATAAAAAGAAGTTTCTTAGGCCTATATAGTTTTGAGATCGTGTAATATATTAAGGAGAGAAGAATCTGAACGACTGTGCGTGTACGTCTGTGTTCCGAATTAGAAGAAAACAAATGCATGCGGTTTGTACCCGCGATACCGATGCTAGCGATCGCAGCGAGACAAGAATTTCGAAGGGTTCCAGGCGTGACAGGCACCGATAATTCTACGACTGAAAATTATCTCCTAGCCTTTCCTCGTATCGAGTCTTTCGACGAAATTCATTCCTTGATTTCTTTAGACGCCTCTTCCAGCTCCTGTTCCCTGACGTTCGCGTCCATACGCGAGAATTCCTCCTGAACAAAAAGAGCACGCGGAATCACATTAGTCATTTTCGAAAGAGTTCCCCGAACGATCGCGTCGCATCCTAGATCGTACTCCACGATTTGTTTACGGTAGACATTACTTTTTCGTATTTCCTTTTTCTTTTTTTTTTCGAACGCGTAGTTTAAGGTACGATATACGTCGAGGACTGTCCTCCTGTTCCTATTCCGTGTCGTTTATTTTTACGGTTAAAGCCTGCAATTTACGTACGATTTGTTAGTCATAGGTACGTTTACGTTTTTAGAAATGTACATAGAGATAGACATTCGCGAAATTCGACGCAAAACCTTCCTCCCCGCGGATCACGAACGATCAATCCAAATAGTTTTCCGTCAAGCAAAGATTTGTCCGAAAAGCGATTCCTCGCACACGACTGCTCAATATTAGATTTGCTCAAGTTCTTTATCCGACCTGTAGATAACGCGAAACCGATCAAGGAAAACATTGTCACCGATAGTAGTCTCTCTATTCGTTAATTTTCGCCTCCGCTCCGAATCCCTCGATATCTGTCCGTATCGCGTGAACGCATAGACGGAACCTCCTTGGAGAAACTACTAATTTTTATAGGGAACTTGCAGCGAAGTTTTTTCTACGCTGAACGTATATTGCATAAAGACAAGGAAGAATCGAGAGATATTTTAAAATATAGAACATACTGTTATATTCGACTGTTGAACGTTATTCTTAGTATTGTTACGTTAAGCCCGATTGGAAAAGAAATCTACAGACGCAAGCCTGTTTCTTTTTTACCTATCCTTCCTTCCGCGTTTGTCCGTACTTTGCGATCGTTCGCAGCGGAATCCGTCGTCCCCTTTACGTACATACGCGTGCCAACTGTCCCGTTCCCACGGAGAAAACGGTACGCGAAATGACCGTTGGCTTGTTCGTAAGACGGGTGAATATTTTTCCTATTATTTATTATTATTTTTTTTTTTTGTATATACAGTATTGTCGTATTTATTTGTCAATAAAGAGCTTGCGATACGCGGACACGAAGAAGTTTCATCATCGGCCTCTACCTTTGCCCACACGTCCCACTCAACGAGTACTCGAACGATCGCCAATTTGATCTAATTAGTCGCGAGTAAATATCATTTATTTCGGAATTGGCGATCGTACGGTATTCGGTTGTTCCTATTTTTCAGTTAGCCCCTAACGCATTAACGATCGTAAGGGTTGAATTGTTGCAACGAACGGTATTCAACGAAGAGTGACAGTTTTCTTTAGAAACAGAAATATTGTTAGCAGCTTCGAGATGTTTTATACAGTCCCGAGGCATTGTCAGAGATATCGTTACCCTCCTTCGACGATTTCCACGAACCTTCGAGTACATCGCGTAATTATCTCGCTACAATACCGAGGCGATGCCATTTTCAACCAGTCCTTGGACCGCCGTGGCCTACTAAACGAGAAAATTCCTTTTCAGGACGATGAGTATCCGAATGATAATCGCGAGCCTCGCGGCACGCCTTATTTCGTAATCTAGCCGATTACCGTCAGCCGAACCGCGAAGGCCGGGACGTGAAAATCGCAACTCTTCCGCGCGAAATTTTCCAAACGCCACCAAACTGTAATCTTCCAAATTTTGTAGATGGAAAAGTTGTCACGTCGAAATATTGGAGTTGATGTTTCGCGCGTTCGAAGTGAAAGTTCTGGTATCGTAAGGACCGATATAAATTAGAAAGACACCTTCGCTTGAGACGCGTGAAACATAGCATGCTTTCGTGCTATTTCATTTATTTTGAAAACACCTTCTCTTTCTCTTGCTTGCCTACGTAATTTTGTTATTTGCCTCGACGTCGTATCCCAACGTTGAAAGTAGAGGATCGTTGACAACTAGAATTGTGCGGGTAACTCTTCCTCGTTTCTCCGCGGAGAACGAAAATGCTGGAAAACGAGTGTTGATCATTCGTAACGAGCGATCCTTCTTCGATGTAAGACTGACGCGAATGCCGTGACGAGATGTAACAAGCCATGTGGCGAAAATGCCTACGAAAAGCCGTGCACGCGTAATTGTAACATGCGAATATCGTCGTTGTAAAATTGAGACGGCCGAAAGAAACCTTTCCCTGTGCGTTAGTCGTACCGCGTTGGCAACGATCGATCGGTCGATCTATCTTGTTCGTAATTTCGCCGACTCGTATCCGACTACTCCGTTAATTGTAATTCACTATTACGATTATATATGTTACGCTGTACACAAAGTGGAGACAGAGTTTTATTTACCAAATACGAGTTTTTTAATAAAAAGCTTTTTTGTGAAGGACACGCTATCTTTTATTCACTGTTTCCTCCTTTAGGAAACCCTAGGAAAATTAGGAACCGTACGCAATTTTCAGAAATAATCTTGTTTCGTTAAACCAACTGTCCGAACCAGCATCTAGTACACGTACGTACACACGAAAGAAGGGGGACTTACGTATCGGACATATGTAGGCCACCGGCGCGGTAGCAAAAATACAAATTAATATGTTCTGCTCTTAGAACTGAAAAGTTCTATGAAACTAAAAAGCTATTCCGCTCGAGATGCAGCGGTAGTTACTTCGGCGGGAATTGTTCGGAATCGCCGATCCGAGAAACGCCAATCTTCTATCCCGATTTCGTTTCTCGTTTTGCACCCCGCGTGTTTGTTCTTTTGCGATCATACATGCATACACGCGCATCTACACGTGCACGAATACGGTTCTCGATGTGCGCGCAACTGCAGCCCGCTCACCAAGAGACCGACCTCGATTCCACGTTTCAAGAACGTGCCTTTTCGCGTCACGACTCGGAATCGTCGCGACCTTTGCGATCCTCTTTATCCACGATGACGATTTTGCCGTCCAAGCATCGGGCTTCGAGCTACGAATTCCAACCACGAACAAACTTTAATCCGTACTGAACTTATTTATTATTGGCAGCTGCGCCGAATGTCTCCTAAGGGTACACTCGGTTCAAGTAACTCTGTTCAAATAACTCCACCGTGGATTCATGGACGGTACTACGGATCAGTGACGAATTTAAGCTTACGAAGGTCTAAAAAGTAATTCATGTTCTTTTCGAAAGGCGAGTATTATTATGGAAACGTTCTCATACGGTAGATTCACCTCTGGCGTGGACAAATCGTTCGAACAAAGTGTACCTTTTAGAGACATTCTTCTCAGGTGCCGACACCCGTATCGAGGTCCGCCGGGCACATATTCTATAGCTTTGGTAACCGCTTGCCAACGGCTAACGATTGCGGTGCATATCCGTGGCGGAGTCAGCGATAGTTGAAAAGAACAAGCTTAAACGATACGTATTTAGAATTGCGGCCACTTGCCGGACTTCGGAACACTCAAAAGTGCACGAGTACAAGGTGACGAGCGTATTCGATGCACGTGCCATCTCGACGATCGGGAAAACGTTTCTCCGGTAAAGCATCCTTCGTTCCATGGGATGCGGAAATATATACGGTAACTGCCGTTACACCAATCGATCGCGTAGACTACTGCAATTGTGATCGATCAATTGCCAACTCTGATTGTATTTCGCCCAACATTGTTCCCAAGGTGTTTCACGTGCCGCGGTTCGTTAGCTCGTTCGCAATTAACGAGCGTGACAAAACGCGAGAGAGCGGGCACGGCTCTCCAAACGAAACGACAAATCGAGTGCAATTTTTCAGCAGAAGATCCGTTGTTAGCGTCTCGGGTGTCGGAACGCGTGAGAGGGTTCTCTTCGCGGTGGTGATCGCGCGACAGAATGAGCAACTGTCGCAACGGTTACGGGCTTAATAATAGCGTGGCGTAACGCGGATTTAATTAGACACGGTCTCATTATAATACGTCTGGATGGCAGAGTTGGCGAGCCTCAGGGACTGGAGCGCCGACGTTATCCTCGGCGACAATCGACGACGAGTTTCATCTCGACGAATAAGCTGATCGAGACGAGCATCGCCGAAAAGCGATATTCAAAGTTAGATGCTTGAAGAGAGATGGCCTGTACCAGCAGGTACCGTTACTACCTGTTCCTCGCAGCATCTCCCGTTTTATCTCCGTACCTACGCGAGGAGGAGAAAGACGAGGAGGCCGCGATTCTCTCGAGGAACCCAACTCTCTTTGTTTCTGCCTCTCTCTATCGGCCACGGTGCTTGTTCCTCTTCGACGCGATCACTCTCTTCTGCCGCCTCTCACGCACCGCTTCACGAGGGCCGCGAAATTTTGAGTTCGATAACCCTGAAAACGAGCCGTTCCCAGAGAAACATTTCTTTCGTTCCTATCGTTTCGACAGCTACGCTGGAGGCTGCGAAACCTTCCGAGCTGCTCGTTAACGATCACTGTCAACAATCGTCAAACGTTAACGGTTACAAGCGTTGTTAGCACTTCGCACCCTAACGCGCGATTTAATCGAACGAAGTAGTCGCAAACATTTGAGTGCGTTTGGTATGAATCAACGAGAAACTTATCAATCTAATTAGTACGAGGATGCTATATACCGTATCTCTTTACATTTGTATTAGTTTCTTTAGATTTTATGTATACTTACGTACCAATGAACCTACTGGTTATTTGACACTTTGGTTGAATCCTACTTGTCGCTTCTGTCGTAAACGGTTTGACTGGGCTTCGGAACCTCTTCGGTGGCGATCTACGGAATAAAGAATTAAATGTAAATTAAATGTAGTCGGACGACGTAAATCTTAACAAAAATTCCAATGGCGCCTTCCATTCATCTTGATACGGTAATCCTTTTTATGGAAAAATGTTTTTTTTTTTAAATGGCACTTACAGCCTTCTTTGCGTCCAGTCTGCGACCTCGATATGGTCGCAAATTGGTCCTCGAGCTAAATTGAGTTTCACATGCCTCCTCGAAGGCATCGGATTCAAATACGATGATAGCCCGTGGAGATTTTTCTCGATCGAGGACAATCGAAGGTTAACGCATTGGGTACGAGAAAATTTTCATCGGCTACAAGTAGATCGTAATGCATGGATCGTGACAAAAAGGTATCGATCCGCGATAGCATGGTACAATTACAGACGCGCAGAGATCGTTGTCCTCTTTGAATGTGAGCTCGCGTCTCGAGACGCCTACCAACTCCGATCGGAAAGTCACCTGCCGCATACCTTTTGCTTCGTCGCTGGAGGCGGCAGCCTCTCTTTCTCCGAATGGGGGGAGAGCGAGAGAGAGAGAGAGAGAGAGAGAGAGAGAGAGAGAGAGAGAGAGACAGGTAGGTGGCCCGTGAAAAAAGATTCGCTTTCACGAAAGTCTGGACGGTCTCTTCATTTTTCCGTGTCGGCTCGTGGTTCTCTTCGATACAGAGCGTGGTACGAAATGGTATTCTTCGCATAAAAATCGTGGAATTTCTAAGATAAAGGAAATATTTAAATAAAAAGAAGGATGTTAGTTCTATGTAAGGTAGCTAATCGAACGTCGAAACACGATGACCCGAGCGACGGAAAATTGTATTATCGGGACGGTTAGCGTACGTAGGTGCGATCCGAATGTTCCTTGGCCAAATTCTTGGCACGCTGCACGGTTGCACCGTTGCTCGAGCTGCTCGCCGATTCCAAACGATTCGAGGGCCTCGTTACACTGGCTTCGTTTACAGAACTCCAGCCGATGGTTCTCCAAACGATCGCCGGTCGAAACGTCGATCGTCCTCGATTCGACTCGCATCTCAGTTAGACGGCCGACCCGATCGATGGTAAATTCCGAATTCTCGTTCATTTTGTCCCGTTCGAACGGTTGTATCCTGGTTGTTGCTAATTTTATTTTTTCCCAGGTCGCGTCGCACGGTGAAATGCGTGAAATTGTTGACAACGCGGGAGGCGAAAACGCGCGCACCTTGCGCCTGCTGCTCGCTCCAGCAACCCAGATCTCCGCGCCATGGAAATGTACCGTTAAAACGTGGCACGGACCCGCAGCCGTTACTCCTGTTCGACGAATCGTCGGTCAACAGGAACTCTCGCTCCCCCTCTGTCACCGACGCCCGTTCTGACCGATGGATCGCAGGATATCCGGACGATTCCCCGCGGTAGACCCTATCGGAGAAGCACGGAGCAACGATTTTTCGCGCGGTCGTGCTCCGAAGGAAGATCGGCGACAAATGGGTCGATGCGATCTCGCGGAAGAGACAACCGTGAGTTATCGTTGCGGAGAAAGCGCCCGTAAGGATGCAACGATCCACCTTTTTGTCGCGTTTCTTTCGTTATTTCAGGTAACACGATTCGCGAAACTTCGAGAGACGGAATAAACGCATACGGAATAAACGGATTCTTTGCAACTTTATGCTTATATTTCGCGGGCTTTCGAACCTTTTCGTCGGAAGTACTAACGCGAGTTACTTTTTTTTTTCAGGGAGTTGTGGCAACCGTCCAAGGATTGGCAACGCGTTCGTCGTGACGAAACAGCATTCGACTGTATCGATGAAAAAACTTCACGGTTCGCGGACTTCGCGATGCCGATATCATCCATTATGCTCGCGAGTTGAGCCGCGATAAACGACTTCCGGCGTACTTCTTATGGTGCTGCTCCATATTCACGTTGCGACGCGGTTCCACGAGCGAAAGTACTTCCACGGCTAAATTATTATCGGCACGCGGTGCGGTAGCAGGAAGAGCTCGTCCTTCGAGGATACAGGAACACTCCAAACGCGGAACGGTCAATAATTCGTAACACTGTCAGTGTCGAGAACGGGCACCAAGTCCCGCGACCTTGGAAGACACGAGTCCCAGGACCTCTCGAACGACCACATTCCTCTTACGCGATGTTGAGAAACTACGCGTAGGAAGTGTTCGTCGAAACCTTGTCAGAGTCTGCGTTATTATACGGAGGATGATTTGTAAAAAGTATTCGAAACGATATCTTTTCGATGCACAGCCAAGCATTGATTTTTGCGCAAATAAGATGTTACTCGAACGATCCGCGTTTTATCGCCCAGGATCGAAGTTGCAAAATTGTTTAACGGGTCGCGACTGTCGAAGTGGACCAAGTGGTAACGCGAGCGGGAAACCTACGCTTGTGTTACACACTTTTGCTCGCTGAATCAACGATCCCGATAAACGCGCGCGTAACATTCTCACAGTCGTCGCCGCTTTCAAACTTGGGCGTCTCGCTGCATTGTTGCGCGCCTTTTGCATAATTCGACTTCCGGCATTCCGAGGTTTTCGCCCGCGTATCTACGAAGCGGCACGGTTTTGTCGGCGAAAGTGCCTATTGATGGCGTATGATCGACTAACGACGACGGCAGGAAAAACGTCGATGATCCAACGAACCGTCCCTCGGACTCGCTGGCCTCCCTCTTCGACGCGTGGTGGATCTGCGGTTTCGCGAAAGGGGCCAGTGGTGCGTCGGATACGTCCGACAGGATTACCCGCGTGTTCTTATATCGGTGAGAAGGAAATCGACGTAACTCGAGTATCGCGTTTTTATACCGGCGATCCCTGCTACTGGGATACCAACGGCTGCTTGATTCTCATTAATCTTCGATGCCATTGACTTTGGTTGGACGCGTTGTGTGAAAAAATCGCAAAGAAAAAATCCCGCGCGAAGCAAGGACACGCCGTATCGCAAGTGCACGGGAGGTACGCGGACTACCGAGGCCGATCGCGAGCACTATTCTTTCTTCTCCTACGTCTCGGGACGGCAAATGAGAATTTCGTGGCTCGTCGGGACCTCGAGGTGCTCGGCTTAATAAGGATCCTTTGGAGTAGTCGACGACTAGACGCGGGAAGACTTCTCCGAGACGGAACAGGGAGAGGGTAATAACAGCGATGAAGAAGAAGGCACTCCGAGAGGACGCCTCCGGCACTTTTCTCCTGGCTTAATCGTTATGGAAAGTCGGAGGATAATATGGGACGTCGGCGTGCTGCAGAATCTTGTAGGATCGCCGCGTAGCCGGCATTCTCCGCGAACCGAGAGAAATAAACGAGCGACTCTGAATTTATTCCACGAACGCCGAAGTGAAAACCTTCTGTCCTCGTTTAATCAACGGTAAGACGTAAAAACTGTCGTATCGTCGCGTTGGCTCCGAATGCTCAGGATTCCTCGTTGCCGAAGGTGTACGAGTACGGGATAACGCCTGTCTCGAAGAATCGCACGTAGTGGTGTTTATTCCGCGGATAACGCCGAAAATACGCATTTCTTCGAAGCGGCGAGGATAATAATACAGGTGTACCGCAGCATCTCGTTGGAGCAGGACGCTCCGTAGCCCACATTGCCGAAGTAAGCTGCGGTGTCGGTAGCGGTGGGTTCGAGACGCCATCGCAGCGTTTCGTTGCTTCGAGCGCACACCCGTGTCTGACTTTTTTTTTAAATTGAAGGAAATTGAAAATCTGGAGTGATCCGAATCGATAGAAAAAAGGTTTTATCTAGAATAAAACAGTCGAATAAAAAAAAAAAATTGATGTATTTACAATAGGTGTGTCGACTGACATATCGGAAGATAAGGATGAATATTTTTGCGTGTAACGTTATCAACGCGAACGTTATCTAAAAAATGTTTTCGGTGAACGTAAAAGCACGTGAAATCTCACGGGTGCGAATTCTACAGGTGTATTCTACGCGCGCCGTTCCGAGGTGCTTTTCCCTACAAAAATGTCGAAAGAACGACCAATTTTTCAGCTAGCCAGGCGTACGCGCGGTTTCTCTTGCGTTTGAAATCTGATATTTTTTTGCGCGCAGCAAATTCGCAAGATACTTGCTCTTCGTGCGAGCAGCGAATCGAACGGGGAATCGCTGCACGCGGAGCGGGATGAACGGATGGGCGCACCGTTCGCGGGTGAAGGAGGTTGAGTGAACGTGGGACACGGGCAGACAGAGAAAGGGAAAGAGATAGAGGGAGAAGGAGAGCGATGTAGAGAGCGAGAGATAGAGAGAGAGGGGGAGAGAGACAGGAGACGGTGTTTGTAATCAAAGGGGCGATCCGCGGCGCGGCGTGGAAGAAAGTCAGCCTACTGGCTCGGCAGTCCGGCACGGCGCGTTGTCCCGAATGCACGTCGAACCATCGATTTCCGCGTGTCGTGGCCACGTGATCGCGCAGTTCTCCGCACCCGTGTCAACCGGCTCCGTTTCCACGCGGTTCCAACTCCGCTACGAACCACCTACGTCGATCGAATCGCGTCGCGACAACCGAACCAGTCGAGCTATCGTCGCGTATCGCGAAACGATCGCGCGGCCTCCGCCAGCGGAGATCGAGGCTTTAACGGTATCCGAACGCGCGGACAACTCGGTAGCGGAAAACCGGGGATCGAAGGTCGACTCACGTGGCCAGAGTCACCGCTGGTGATGCACGCACAGGAATACGCAGTCTCCTCGGCGATGATAACGAGCCTCGAATGAATGGTAAGTACCGGTAATCGACATGGGAACTGGCGCGAGGAGTTTCTCTGCGATTACGTCCGAAGAAATTGCGACGAAGTACGGATTCTTTTCGCCACGGAGCCTCGACGATACGGTCGGTGTCGCGTATGACGACGACAAAGAGGATTCTTGCAAATGCAGCTACGAAATTAATCGAATTCGAGCCGAAAGTCGATGGAACCGAATTGGTTCCAACGCGGCGTTAACGGAGCGCTGATTGAACTATAGTTGTATATAACGATCCTTTCCGTATAGAAACTTTGCATTACTATAGAAGTTATTTACAACTGAAGCGACGATCGACGGTATGCGAACAACACCGCGATTATTATCATTATTTCAGGCGATACTCTTGTAAGCGTTAGACGCGACGGATATTTAAAATTCATCGCAGCAGGTGGAGTACACGCTCGATAGCGGGCATATTGGACGCGACACGAGGCCTCCCGCAAACCGCCGGTACGCTATCGAAGGAACATATTTCTGTTGATCCGTTTAACGGGACGCGATTCTACGGCTTCGATGAACGTCATCTCGATAGGAAACGAGGAGAATGTTAAAAGTAACCAAGGGTACGATTTGATGCCACGTTTCCCGTTTCTCTTTCCCCCCAAAATAGTTGCAGATTTCCCGATCGGGCCAACTTCCTCGCGACAGGAGTAAAAGATTGCCGATAATGCGGCGATCGACAAGAAATCTCTCGCGAAACCAGTTTTCGACGCAACGGACAGCGCGGGGCCTTTGAAAGCCGATGGCATTTCGCGCTTTTTATCCCTGAGCGGAGAGACGGTGGCCCCGGGCTCGCTCTCTCTCTCTCTCTTTCTGGCTCCTTCTCGCTCGAGCCGCGATTTCCTAGCTCCGAGGTATTCCGAGCCGATGCATGGATAATTATTCCCGATCCCCGTGAAAGTTCGACCGCTCGAACCTCGACGCTAGGAAGCGCCGCTTGCCAAACAAACAACCGTGCACGCGTTGCGATTCCTTTCCTATTGCCTTCTTTTCAGCGCGCGAGTAACGCTCCGATGTCACGCTGTTGCTCCTAATACGTTCATTTTTCCTTCGTTTTGCGCTCTGTTATACAACGCTTCCGTGTACGCGGCCGGTTTCTAAAGCCTTTAGACCGACTTTGGGAAAGCGATCGGTTACTGGGTCATTCTACGCGAAATCGGACACTTTTCGGCGAAACGTTTCGTCTACTTTTTCGCGATCGAGGTATCATTTCTGTAAATGGGAATGGTCCACTATGTTACGATGACGTTACAAGATGACGTTACAGCTTAGCGCGGTGACTGGAGTGTGGTAGTTGAATCTACGGCAATGACTTTCCAAATGCTATATCGCACGCCAGGGGGTCACGGAATCCGCCAAAGAAGTCTAATCTGCTCCTAAACGTGAGATTCCTAGATTCGAGAGATTCATCTTCCACTGGTGGAATCAAACATTCTAACCCAGAGAAATGTAACCTTCGAGCATTCGTTTCGAAAGTTTAGCTATCGAGTACACGATACAGGTTGTAGGTGTGACGGTGACTATAGACACTGAAAGCAAAGTTTGGAGGACAACCGGTGGATCGAATGGAGTTAACCCGCTAATGACGAGGTAGCTAGCGTTGTTGGAAAATATTTGCAAAAAAACCCGTGGAATGTTTATTTGTCGAAGCAGGCACGATTGGTTCATTTGAAATTTTCGAATTCCCAGAATAGTTTCAGCGAACCGCGAACGCGTCGAATTCGACGACCGGACCAAACTGGACAGGAAAATCGCTATAAAAGACGAGCGGTAAATCGTCTTTCGCCGCACGCGCGCGTACGCGGACATAGATGGAGCGAAATGTAATTTAATGCCGTTTTTCCAGCCGTCGCGACGAGTGCGCCAAGAATAACCGGGATTTAAAATAATGAATGGAACACGCTGTCAAAATGCGTGAAGCGTGACGGAGAACGCCGTCGTTACGTAACTCTGCCGCATTGTAGCGTCGTTTACGGCTGGGAAAATGCAGAATTCCAAGGGGGGGAGGGGGGGGGGAGGGAGGGTTACGAACCTCCACTTAGCCGAGTGTAAACATTTCCGCGCGGAACGCTCGATAGTTCCGAATAAGGACGACGACATCGCCTTCGCCAGGAAATCTGTGCCAATTAAACCGCCCCGCGCGCTTTGCTTTCTCGCGTGGCTAATCGCGTCGAACTCATCGAATACCGAACACTTTCGACGCGTTTCCAATTGCGATTCCGCCTCCATGACACGAGGCTTATCGGTCACCGGTGGAATCGCAAAGAGGCGACGGAGAATTGGAATCAATCGAGCGGGGCTTAAAACGGAATGCGTCCATTCGAGTTAGACCGCGCGAACGGAACGGCGCGGGAGTTGTAGGTCGGTCCGAGCGGTTTGTTAATTCGGAGCAGGTTTAGCTGTCCCGGTTGTTTGACAAACCGATTAGTCGTTGGTAATCGAGCCGTGCATTTATTAGGATGCGGTACAGTTTTGGGTGTCAAGGCGGTTGGGGCAGTTAGAGGGTTACTCTTGGAGGGCAAACTCCGAGCAATATTGCGCTAATTTCCTCTTTGGAAGCCTTTCACCACCCGGGAGTCACGTTTTGCGTAACGAGCATAGTTTCATTTGTACGGTGAGAAAGTTTTGGAAACGACGATAGAAAAATCGCGTCGGAGTACGTAGGCAATGCGGCTGGTAAATAAGTGATCTAGATGGTAAAGCTACCCACGGACCTTGTCCGTGACTAGGTCGCACGAAATGATTCGTAACGCGTAAATACTTTACCAATAACTGCGGGAAACGTGTTAAGTTAGTCGTCGTCTAGACGTGTTCGCTACTGATTTACGGTTGGTTTCCAATAGGACGAGGAAAGACCGTGGGTGGAAGAATCTACGGAACTACAAGAGGAGTTACGTTTACTATTATGTACGTGCTCGGTTTACACCAGGCAAGTGCTCTCAAACTTCGTTTCTGTGTCGCGTGCACAACGAAATGATGTATCCGGGGCAGATTCGATCGATCGGGCGCATCTCGCGAATCGGAACACGGTTTCGTAATATTTTCACGAGGCTGCTGATGCCGAGTCTTGAGAGTGCCGGCATATCGGGAGAATGTGGCGATCGGCCCTGCGGCTACGAATTCCGTTACGCGCACTTGTTTGGTTCCACGGCTTCTCCCGTCTCCGTGCTCAGCCCATGAATATATTTTTACCATGGCCACGTCTTCGGGATCCATGGCCCGAATTCGCGTATCTGGCTGGCAAATGACGCACGATTTTTTCCAACTAAAGAACGCCACCGTTTATTCTCTTATTTCCTCTTACTGTCGAAGCAATTCGTCGACGTTTGGAGAGTCCAAAGAAGCCGCGAAACTTTCGTAATTCGAATTCTGAAAATAAGTGGGAGCCATTTGACAAAATCACGACAGCGTGAGACGATAATTCTGCGATGGCAGGCTTCCGGTATCGAATGGGATTTCAGAATCGCTATAGCGCTCGCCGAAGAAAGTCCGCTCCTAGTGCACTCGATTATTCACGATCAATGACGTAGAACCTACTCCAGGAATCTCGAAGTAACCGTTAACGAGGGACCTGTTGAGAAAGCCCCCGAGGTTCTCTCGACGCCGCAGGTATCTCAATAGTCTTCGCAGCCTGTTAATTTTAACTACGCTCAGCGATCGCGGATTTTATCGCGGGAACGACTATTCGCACCTGTTAGCGTTATTTTTGCTATCGCGGTCACTCGCGATAACCCGAAAGGACGAGTAGATAGAATCGTGTTTCGGCGAAACTACCAAACGATTAACCGTAAAATAATCGTTACTTCCTTGGTAATTACGCACAGATTAAGCCTCCGCGATCGTTACCAAACGTAAATTGGTTTATCGTAAAGGAGCACAATCGTCGTTTAAGAAGATTTAAACGACGTTCTTCAAGGTAAACAGGTGGTTTCAAGCCTTCCCTCCGGTAACCAGGGAAAACAACAAGCCAATTACCATTGCTTGGAAGCTGCTTTAAAGTCCAACGAAGCTTTCGTCTGAAAGACTTCAACGGAGAAGACTAGACTTCCAGGTCGAGGCACGATTTTTTTCGTATCGTGTAACTTCTTTCGGACAAAAACCCGGGTTGCTCGCGGTAAAACACGTAAATCGGACATACGTTCTCGCAGCCAACCAACAATCTACTTATCACGAGCACGGAACGGTCGTTCGAATTATGTTTTCCACGGCGCAGCGTCGAAAACAGGGAAAACGGCTTATCCTGAAACATCGCGCGGGTCCCGGCCGTCTGGATGTTTCACCGAGTGATTTACGAGGTTGAAGGAAAGACTTTCCATTCTCGCGAATCACGCGAGATGGTTGCCGTGAAAAGGACCGCGGATATATGAAAAAAAATGGCGACCGTGATTCCAAGACGGCAGTCGGAGGGGATCCCTTGACGATCAGCTGATCGGCCGGCAGTGACCCCGGGTCAATCTACTTTCTACTTCTCGCATTCTACGGAAATCGGAGGCGGTAGGCGGGCGGAGGAAAGAAAGGCTGCTCGCTGAATATCCCTGTTGGGGGCGAGCGTACTTTCTCGCGACGAGAGGAGCCCATCGTACGTATCGTTAGACGAATCGGGATGCCGATGAGTGAAAACGAACGGAGGCGGTGAATAAATAGTCGCATCACCCCTCGAAGACTTATTGCCAGGGACGTTGCGGGAATCTCTCCCGGCTTTCTGGAAAATATTCTCTCTATCGTGAGAACAGATCTCGCGAGAAAGATCCGTGCCGGGCGATTTTTCTCTTTCATACGCGTCGCACGACCTCGCATTCGTTAATTAACTTTCCAAATATATTAGCTCGAGCGGAATGTTCTCCATCGATCTTTTAGGTCAATGTAAACGGCGATTTGTTACATCTATACAAATAAAAATGAAAGCCCTGGCTCACTGACTCACCAACGCCTTGGCTAAACCCTTGAACTTAGAAAGCTGAGTTTTTGCACAGAGGTTTCCTTTATGATGTATACAAGAAATAGAAACGGATATTTCGACATTCAACCCCTAAGGGAATAAAAAGGGGTTCCAACGTAGTATTCCACGCGGGTGAAATCTCGGGGCGCAGGTATGTAGTTTATTATCAGTAGCTGCGATCATCGATGTATGCGTATGAAGTAACATCGCGTTCCAAACACAGATTCCTTTAACTAATTTCTTTCGACTGACATCTACGCGAACGAGGCCGTAAACGGAAGCTGCTATGTAAAATAAAATAAAATTTGTCGATTCGAAGCAGGCTCGGGACGAGAACGCGGGCATCCCGGCTCGGCGCTGATACGCGTCGACGCGTATTTTATATTTGTTCGCACAATTTGCACCGTAATCGTATTGTAACAGTACATGGTCAGACGAGGAAACGAGCAGGTACGTGCAGAGAACATGAAAGTTCCACGCTAAGTTGGTCACGCGAGTCAGCCGGCGTGTAGTTGAAGATCGCTTAATGACCGTCCGAGAGGATCTTCGTGCTACGTGACACAGTTTGTCGACGTCTATTCACAGCCACAGGTTGACGACAATCCGCGAGATTTCCGCGCGTACACTCCAATTTCCCTCGGCTTTGGATAATCGTGCATCGACATCGTCGAGATCAGGGGTCGGCAAACTTTTTCCGAGGAGAGTCGAATAGTTTACCGAGCCTTGGTCTAGATTCTGAATCGCTATCGTTCAACTTCTTTAGCAGCCAAGATGTCATCGTCGTAACTTTTCCGTTAACGAACAAATTAATTTCTCGAATCCCGACCATTGCCACCATAAAATTGACGCTCGCGTTCGATCGTTTCTTACGGGGCATCGCGCTAACCAATCGAGTTAATGGAGAAAGCTGCGCAATAATCTCGTTCGACGACTCGTTAGAGAAAGAAACGTTTGCTCCGTAAAACTGACCAAGTTCGCACGAACTTGTAAGAAAACTTGCCCGTCGATTACGACACCGATTGTCTACAATGGCGTGGACCTGCTTTCAGGGAGTGGCCAGCATTCCGGACTGTAAAGATCAGCAGTGGGGTTGCGATGAATGGAACGCTTTGAGATCGATCCGGAAAATGGATGTCGCCAAGAACGCAACGGAGGATTTCGTGACGGTGGTCAACGTCGAGGGTCAGCCACCGCCGGAAAATTTTGTCACCGTGCTGTCCATCGGCAGCGAGAAAAAGGAGGACGAGCCACCACCCACGACCTTGACCAAGAGCCAAGTCAACGGGGTGAATGGGGTTAACGGGATCGACGGACCCCTCGAAGAGGAGGTCGAGGTGTTCAGGCTACCTGGAGAACGGCTAGGATTTGGACTGAAGTTCGAAGGAGGAAACAAGACTTCGGAGCGGGTCAGGAGGCTGTTCGTTCAAAGCTGCGCGGAGCAGAGCCCTGCGAGCAGGGCTAAATGCTCGTGGGGCACCTTGGGAGAGGGTGACGAGGTAAGAGGAAGATCGTACGTTTTTCTGGTACGGAGAGTTGCCAAAATCGTCCCGTTTAACCATTTAGCTTACAATCGTCGTGTCAGAGACACGGTTAGTCGACCGGTCCATATTTTCCGTTTGAATTCTATTTTTCTTTGCAAATGGAGGACGTTTATTTATACGAACACATTCGTAGCAGCCGACGTAATTTCGCGTCACTTTTAATTCCATAGTTGGTCGTCGGTGATGCCGGTTACCGCTGACGTAATTCCGTACGTCATTTCGTACTTCTAGGAAGGCAGACGACTACGATTACCGCAAATGCCCAATAATCCAATAACAGAGAAATCTAAGAGATACGATTCAGCCAACTCTCTCTCACCGAAACGTTTTAATTACACGAACGATAAGCTTTCCGTGTCACGCGACAAGACGCGATTCCCGCCTCCGATTTTCGAGACCCACTTCCTGCGTAACGATTCCCAGGAGAACCCGTGCAAGAAACAAGCATGTCGTATCTCACGTGCTCACTGGTCACGTTAACCGCGTCTCTTTTCCAGGTACTCTCGATAGACGGTGTACCAGTGACACACATGACTCGGCTGGATTGCGTGAGGAGATTGAAGGAATCGCAGCTGGTTATCAAGCTAATGGTTAGGTGCAGGGGAGCGCTCAGGCCTGAAGTTGTTAGCGCCGAGAAAAAAAATTCCCCGGAGAAGAGCAAGGTGCCTCCGGAACTGCCGTCGGCACCTCCGCCGGTTCCGCCGCGAAAGTTGAGGCAAGCTCGAGGTTCTGCTGACGGCGAGGCCAATCCGAGCCCGGTGAAAAAGTCCTGGAACGGGCACAGATCACGGACCAGCTCGCAGAGCAGTTCTCAGAACAGTTCTCCTGGATCCCACCCCGTCGGTCAACTCGACAGCAAATCTAGTACGTACGAGAGTTGCGAGTCCTCGCCTAAGAGCAATGGCTCCGCCCAAGAGACCCCGAAAGGATCGCCGAAGGAACGATCGCCGGAGCTTGCGAAATCCAAACAGGTTCGGTTCAAAGTTGAATCGTTTAATCGTTCCACTTTGTTTTCTCTCTGTCTAACATATATACACTTGCAGGAACCTCCGGAAGCGATGGTGTACTTGGACGCTAGATCGCAGTGCGGCTCAACGCACGGAAGCACTTCCGACGACACGGGTAGCTCGATGTCCACGGTGATCGACCGATTCTCGACGTCTGACCGAGTATCGACGATCTCGACCACCTCGACGGCTTCCACCACCTCCGAACAGCCGGGCGAACTTTCCTACAGGACCGATCACGAATTCGATCGATCGTCCGACCGCGATTTCCAATTGTCCAAAACGATCTGTCCGTTCGAGACCTTGGACGGCGACTATTCGTCGAATCCGCCCGACTACCTGCTGCGTCGGTTAGCCAACTCCGAAGCGGTGACCCACGTCGAGTCTCGAGGAGAAGTCGAGAGGATCACCGCGGTGGTGGCACCTAACACGGTGCTGATCGAGGAAACGATCACCTTTCAGCCGCCGCTGAGCTTCCAGGACGCGCCGCTGAGCTATGGTCACGAAGCCAGGCCGGATCTCTTTTACACGGCCGATCTAGCCGCCGACTCGACGACGCATTTCAGGCCAATTAAGGACGATGTCGAACTCGTCGAACGCGTGAACGGCGACCACGAGGAATTCCACGCCACGGAAACCTCGCCAACGTCGGAGAAGCTCAAGGAAACACCCGTTGGACGAGGCTCGGACAAAACCCCGCCGCCTCTGCCGGCTAGGAATCACGTTAACAGGATCGCCGTCAATCAATCAACCAACAACGATCGCCAGATCGAGCCACGACCGCGGAAACTATCCGACTCGTCTACCACCGAGACAACCGATAGCCAACATGACGCACCTGTTCTACCCCCCAAGCCATCGCCCAGAAGAGACGTCAAGGTCAGACGGAAGAGACCACCACCGCCACCTCCTCCACCCACAGTCGCACCCCGAACAGAAGTCAAGCCTCCCTCGTTGCCAGAGTTCGAGCAAGCGAGTTTCGAGCAGCGGGAACCCTCGAGTCCGGAATCGAACGTTCCTTCTGCGAAGATCCGCGACACCGTTGTCAAGCCGAAACCCGAGGACAGGTCGAAGATCCTGGAGAAAAACGATTCGCCGACGTCGGTTAAGATCGTACCCAACGAGACGAACTCGGACGAGAAGAGAATCGACGAAACGGAGGACACCGAGTCCACGGATAATTACGAATCTCTCGAAGACGATGGATCGCACAGAACGAACAAGGTACTGGAGATAATCGAGATAAGGAAGGCGAAAGCGTTGTCGCCGACGACGAATTCTCATCCGCGAAACGAGACGGATAATTTTAGCGAACAATCCAAGCCGACGGTCGACGACGAAAGAATCAACGACGACGCGGAGGAAACGAAAGCGGAGATCGCCGAGAACTACGAGAGACCTAAGCCGGAGCTTAGAACCGGAGTCACGATCTCGACGGAAGTGGAGGATTCGGGGGATGAAAGCGACGAGGCCATCACGAGATTCAACGATTGCGTAGACAACCAATACGAGGAACAGCCGAGCAAAAACGAAAACTCGGCTGGTTCGCGAGACATAGATTCGCCGTTGCGCGAAAAAACGACGGGATTTGGAAGACGGGAGAACGACGACGAAGAGTCCTATCGATCCCTCGACGACGTCCAACGCGATCTACGTAATTCGGTGGCTAATCGAAGCCGGGATAAACGAGAAGCTATCGAAGACGAGGACACGACCGACGAAAGCGACGACGACGATTATTACTGGCAAAGTAATCTGGCCACGATCGGCGAAGAAGAGGAAACGAATTCGCTCGAGTACACGACTGCGTAAGTTTGTTTCGCTACGGTGTTTTACTTCGGGCCGTAAACAAGGAAGTATCGTTATCGAAGGCGGATAACAGGGATTTTTTGAACGTCTAACAATCGCCGTTAAACGTGTTCAACATCTCGAAACCAGTTTCCAAAAGAAAGAATAAAAGGAGCAGCGTTAATATGCAACACGGCGATCCCTCGCGAGAGATACCTCTTCTCGCTACCTGATTCGCTCTGAAACTGGTCCTTGTTCCTTATTACCGGTTATCAAAGTGTACCATCTACTCAATTTTACTGGAATAAGTTTTTCTCGCCGATCTACTATCTCATCTGTCACGAGGTGTTTGCATAGAACGCGGGACCGACCGTGCATGCGCCCAAGTGGGTTCAGATTTACAGTACATTAATTCGCAACTATTCGGTACAGCGAGCGGTAGCGGAATGTATTTTTTAATTGTAAGCAAAAGCACGCTTTTTGCCTGAATGTACGTACCTACACGATTTATACTGTTGCGAGTTCCATGGGAGTAGACAAAGTTCGAGTTGGTTACAATTTCTGTCGATGGACTAATTCGAGTTCTCTGTTTTTACAGAAACAAAGAGGGGAGTGACAGCGACGCGAGCGGTATAGAGAAGCTAGAATGCCAAGAATCATCGACGAACAAGAACGACGCGTTCAGCGAAAAAGGTAACGTCATTGATATTCTTCAGGTGACTGTCTCGAGTATTTTGTAAGATAATTAAGATAACGACAGTAGTCTAGCGAAGAGCAAGAAGGAACATAGAAATTGGCAAACCTTTTCATCCTTCGACTTGTACACGTCTAAACGAAAAATAAGGCACGGAGAATTTGAACCCACGATCCTCGGATCCACAGTCGACCGCGATAATACTAATACATAAATGAAGCGTGTCCAGAGAAGCGTCGAAAGAAAAGGGCAATTACGGTATTTAATGTGATCGAGGAGTCTATCGTTCTCATCTTAATTTGCCAATTTAAATGTCGAAAAGTACGCGCGTGTTGGGCAAATTGAAACGCGTCTTCGAGGTCGAATAGAAAACAATTACGAGCCGGACGTTTTACGTCCATTAAACGTAACTGCGCAAAAATGTTAGCGGCATCGAGTTGATTCGCGTGACCTTGAATCGTCGTTAATTCTCACGAAGTAGTCCGGTCAATTTGGTCGTTAGGTTCTTGGTTGCTTCGCGAGAAGACACGGTGTTCGGATAGGTGATCATCGAGTAGGACCCCGGCTAGAAATACAGGTGTCGCGAAAATGTTTCTCCTTCTCTTAGCGGTCCATATCGGTCGACGCCGACTGAGAGTCGAACCTGAACGAACGAAAGGATCCGCGTGGTCTCGAGGCAAAGCGATTTCATTGAACTCCAAGCGAAGGTTCAAACGCTGGCCGACGTAGAGAAGGAATTCTCCATTGGCGCGGTGAACACGCGGCATGCACGCACGCCCACGCGTGCGTCCCGCCGCCTCGCGTCGCGCTTCATAAAGGTTACGCATTAATCTCGGTGCGTTACGCGCCGCTAAGGTTCTCCGGTTTCGCGCGCGCACGCCAGCAAGCATTCAAAACGGAGGCACAGCAAGCTCGCAGAACCTTAAAGACAAAGGCGTTGTTCGCTCGCGGCGCACCTTCGACGGCCAGGAATTTCTGTGCGCCCCGATACGCGCGCCAAATGGATCTGCGATCATTGTCCGCCAAAGATGGATCGTGACTTACGTGGGAAATCCAACGGCCAGATCGCCAGGACTGGAGACAATGTCGCGAGACGCGTTCGACTAAAAATATCCCAGTGCTGCGCGATCCGAACGTTAAATCCTAGAATCGAAGCAACGATGGGCTTGTATAGCACTCTTGGAAGTACATCTTCGACGTTTCACCTACCGTTTGTAAAACAAGTATTACCTTGAATAACTCAAAACTTGCAATAGGGATTATCGGCTCGTTAGAGTTACCGAGTCATTAAAGTGGAGCATTTCCGTATTAATACCGGGAACGCGTAATCTTCCTAACCATAAATCTGGTGGTTCGAGCGGTGAAGCGAAACTGACCGAAGACAGCCCGTATACAACGCACGCTAAGGAATTCCTAAAGAGTTTCGATATAAACAACACCCATTTGTTTACCTAACGAAGATAGGGAAAAACGTTGCTTGCAGAGTGACCAGGTAGAAAAGGCGCGCGGTAATTGCTAGGCTGGATGTACCGGATGTCGATTATCGTGGGCGTACGCGAACAGCGCGCGATCATTTACCCTCGCAGCCTTATTACGTGCAGCGTCGCGATCCAGTAAATGTATAGCCGAGAGTTTTCGCACCTCGTGCGAGCTACGTTGAACGTACACGTCGTATTTCAGCTTTCAGTCTCGCGTTAACAGGGAGAGAGGTCGTTGAGAGGAAAATTAAAAACTGGATTATCCGACGGGAAATAGGTTTAGGACTACGGTTTTTTCTAAAACTACGATTTTTTAGAAGTATTTCCTCGGAAAATGTGGAAGATATCAGGTATCGCCCATCTCTATTCAAATTCTGTACCACGAGTTCCACACGTTACTATAGGTTAAAGGGTTAATATGGTCTCGCGCGCTTCGTTTATCGTCATTTTTGAATGATATCTATCGATTGAAAAATAGTCGGAACCCGCGCGAGGTTGGTATTAACCGCGTGTTTCGAAATCATGACGAGAAAGATCAGCAGCTTCGGCGAACAGGGGAAATAAGGAAACTCCTTTCGATCGCTAATCAGCGCACCACTCCTCGAAAGTGGATGCTCGATCGCGGCCGGTGGGTGTGAGAACGAAACCGTTAAGTATAATTCAAGAAGCACGAGGCGAGCTCCGGCTGTGCTCAGGTAGCTGGTTTACACAGCCAACGAAGGAACCGAGCTTTGAGGATCCTATTAAAACGCGAAACTTTACGACGCGACCCTTTCACGGGAAATAAACGTTCCATGCGTTGCCTTCAAACGAGCCGGCGTTAACTTTTCAACGTTATTTACAGAACGAAACGTTGAATTGTTGACATTCACTGGGTATATTTTCGCTGGGTAGGCTTTCAAGTTTTAAGGAGAACTTGGACCGACGAGTCGTTCGAATTTTCCTAAAGAACGAGGGTTCGATTACTCGCACCGGTACTCGACATTTTTATACAACCTTAACCAGACGGAGAGACCGAAGAGAAGTCGCTGCCTGGTCTGGCGATATGGCAATCCGATAAAAAACAACGTAGATATACCGTTAATAGTGTCCGCGCTGGTGCGTTTACCTCACAGCGCGAAAATGTAAAAAATTTGAACGCGTCGGCCGGTTACGCAAGTCGTCGGATAATCAGGAGAAATGATAGATCGTTGAGCGAAAAGCGACGGGAGATGTTCGCAGGCGGTCGTGTCACTGCGTTCCATCGGCTGAGGCTTCTAACTCTCGGTGAACAGTCCGGTCAGCTACGGTTGCGAGTGTGGGTGGCTGGTCAGGGTCTGTCAGGGCATAGTAGTCACAACAATATGGCCGTCGCGCATACCCGGAGCTCCAGGGTGACCAGGGTTCGCCGTCTGCCGGAGTTCTCGCAGTGGTTGACCGCGCTCAAGGTCCCATTCCCCCTTAATCGCCTTCCTTTTCGAGATCTTTCACTCGGTTCGCTCCCAATCGAAGAGACCGCAATCTCTGGCGAACGCTCGCGCATACACGTACCTACCGCCTATGAGCCCGTACGGAGGAGACGACATTCCACGGAGCCTGGATGCTGCGCGCAGTATACTGACCTAAAGATAACCGGATTACCCTACAATCGCCTCGCGTCATTGCTCGATTATTCGACTACTCACCTATCGGCCAAAAGGTTGACGCCGTAGCTACCTGACGCGCGAATGCAATCCCTTATTCGTACGCCGCGCTTCGAATTCCTTTCTTAAATCGCAAGCCCCGAGCCAGCCATCGACATCCGTTAAAACGAAGGAAAGCAATCGCTGTAGCAGTCCGATCGTTGCAATTACCGATATTGCTGGTTTCGTCCGCGAGCGATTAGTCCGTTCTGCGAACAGGAGATACTCGTGGCTTCCAGATCGAAACCAATCGGATTCATCGCGGCAATAATGATCCCCGACTTTCCCTTGGGCCGTTTAATATTCATGCGCGCAATGGATGCCGTGCTTGGTCGGTGGAAATAGGAAATTGCAACGGGAAGAAAATTGCACGCATCTCGACAACGTCTTTCGCCGCTCTTCAAATTCGGGATGTCGGTTTCTGTACTTTAACCCTTTGCGGACGGGACGCTCTGACGTGCGAGTGTCCGCCTGAACGGGGAGTCTTAAGAGCATTTATTAGACGTTTTATCGATAACTTCAATTTTATATGTTACGATGCTTGGGCTCCCCTAATACTTCTGAACGAGGATGTACATCGTATTTGGTGCATTAACCGAGGCCACGCGATAACTCCTCTGGTATTGGCCGTTTTCTATTCGGTTCCAAGGAACTGGTCACGACCGATGATTGGTCGAATCGATCATTCGGAGAAACTATCGGAGGCGAGTCGCTCGAGGAAGCGTCGGAACGCTCGCGAAACGGTTCGTTCCGATGCTCACGGGAATAAACTCGACGGCGGATCGTTCACCGAGCAATTATGAAGTCACGGTCAAACGGCGAGGGTCGATCGATGCGCGCCAGCGAGTCGCGAATCTTTCTCCTTTTTTCCACGGAACTGAAATTAGATCGTTCGATTTTATTTATCGCGCGAGCCGCGAGTAAGTCAGCCGCGATGATAGGCGACCTCGCGGACGATCGTTTCGCTGGGAGAACCGGTTGGCCGACGCTTTAAAAACCGTTTAGTCGAAAGGATCGCTGTTTATCCGTCGTTCGCGCGCTATCGTAAGATAAATGTACGACGAGAACGACTAGGTGACAGGTCATCGCGTTCCCTCGAACGGACAGGGCCCCGGAGGTTACTACTTTCATCGGGATGCCGTATTAATTAGCCGCGCGGGTCGTTAAAATTTAGCGAAAGCGGACGCTCGATCCTCGTAAAAGAGCCTGAAAGAGTTTAACGCTTGGCAAACGGTATAAACTCCTGACGACCGAAGATCAGACGTCGAAGGATCCCTAGGGGTCACCGATATTCAATCCCGGTAAGAGATATCCGTTTAATAAACCCAATGGAACGGGTTGTACCCGGTCCTGGCACGTCCAGCACGCGATAAACCCGTGGAAAAGCAACGTTCTCGCGTCGAACGAAACGGGAATCGCACGCTCGATCCCGGAAATGCCAGCCGAGTCTTCGATCGGCCCATTCGAATGTACGGCGAATAGATAAGCAGCCCAGGACGTTACGAAACCACGAGAAAATTCGACCGAGGAAAAGAAAGATAAAAAAAAGTCATACTCGTCATTACGTCGAGAGAGAATGGAGGCAATCGCGTCTGAAAGGATCTACTCCGCGCCTACGTGCGGCCAATACGTCCGATTGAAGCGACGACATTCCAATGCGCCAACCCGGAAGGTGCCTGCGCACCGACATCGATTCGATTAGCTTCGATAAGTCATACTTGTACTCATGCAAACACGCGCGTGCCCCGTGCCCCGGGGAATTCGAGGGATCGCGGTGGAACAAGGGGAACGATTTCATCGCGCAAATTCACCGCTGTCGTCGATTCTTATAAGTTTCGAGTCAGGTTGGAAAAGAGCCGTTCCGGATCTTTGTTCTCCCGTCGTGGTATAACCGCTGTGCTTCTCTCTTTTTCTCCGTTTCTTTTTATATTCTGTTTCGTGCCGGTGCAACGAAGCGAAATAAACGAATTAACGCTCGAACGGCGGAAGAGATTTCTACGTTTCCTCGAGCAATTACCTAACGACGCTAGCAAGCGCCGGTTGCGAGCAATTAGTATGGACGAGCATGGAAAACTGCTCCAGTCCAAACGAATGCGTAATTACGCCGACGCGATACCACACCGGCTCTGCTGCCACAGGTGTTCACCGGGACTTCCCGCGTGAATGCCGATCCGATTTCGCTCACGCATCGATGTCTCCAAATGTCGCAACGCACGTGTCCGCGATCTCCCGCGCGTTGGCGCGAGTGGAAATCAGAAGCGCGCAGGCGGTTGATACTTATTTTCGGGTTCTATCCGTCGCATCGTTTGTCACGCGAGACAGCGAAATAAATATTCGGCTCCCAGCGTAAGCAGCTTTTCCTCGCGGTAGCAGTTTCATCGGATCGAGCCGAGACAGGAGACGTCCCTTTACAGTTACTCTCGCGACTCGACGTGGCGACTTATCGTCGACGTAGCAGTCACTCGGCCTCTCTGCGACACGGGGCGCTAAAATACAGTCGAGAAAACGAGCACCGTAGCCGTCGAGCGACGACGTCCGCGATCCGGAACTCGCGCGCGATGGAAGCACTGCCGGGCAATCAGCAGGGATTTTTACTCGCTCGGAATGCCTCCGGTCGCTATAAGCGGCGACATTGCGCGAATGCCGCTTAGACACCGGTAAAAGATCGGTTTCTTTCGATCCTGGTGCCGAGGACATCCAGTTATCGATAACCTTCGCGACTTGCCCCCCTCGGAATGCTTTATCGCTCAAAAAGTTGTCCCCTGCTCGGACTCGGGGACAGACATTAGAACCACGAAGCTAGGCATCCGACCACGCGCTAATACTCTCGCGTAGCTCCCAGTTATCGCCTGTTTGACCCTTCGGTCACCCTGTTTCGGTAGCTCCGACTCATATGCTCGATTAATACTTTATTTTAATACTTTCGTAGCAATGCTACGTAACAGAATTGGGAAAAGGTGGAGAACGTGCTTTCTCCGTTTTTCTTGGACCAACCATTGTCTCGATCGTTTCCAATCAATGGACCGAATGATATTCGTATCTCGCCTATAATAGCTTGGAAGATTACGAGATGGAATCGAGAAGATCCCGTTGGAGTTCAGGCTGGCTCTAATTGGAGGGTCCGGACCCCGGACGCAGGAGGAATTCGTGCAAGCTGCAGATTCTCGCATTCCAGCGATGCGCGCGGTCCGGCTTCTCTCCCTCTCTTTCTGCATTTATAGAGCTGCTCGCGCCAAGTTTGAACTCGCCAGAGCCTTCCATGCCGCTTCGTTCGCGAAACGGAAGAAGTTCGACCGGTTTCTTTTTTGTCGCGCGGCTCTTAGAACGCGACCATCGCGCGCGGCTCTGCTGCTCGCCGACTCGCCGCAAGGATTCCAAAGAGAACAGCGGTTCCTCGTTGTTCCGACCGCGAATCGAGAGCACCGATATCGTCGGTGACTTTCGTTTTCAGCGTTTTCCCGTCGCCCCCGATCCCGTTCGCTCGCTCGTTCGTGACGAACAACGAGAACCGTATCCATCGACGAATCGCGATTTTTTTCATCGGCGCTTCTTCCGCGACGTCCACCGTTCTGCGGTTTCCCACGCGCGCCGCGCAACTTTGCACAGTCAACATTCTTGTGCTAACTAATCAACGACGCGTGACTCTCCTTTGAGGCACCGCTGAACCGGCTCCGGGCTTTTCTTTACCTGTTAACTCCCGACTCGCGCTTTGTCGGAAGTTGAGACAAAGTTTTCAATTTTTGAAGGTGGTTGACCATCGATCGCGGTGTTCTTGGACCTATTATCCAGTACATTCATTCGAAAAGACACGTAGGGAACGATCGTCGACTCGAAGATCTTTCTCCAAAATAACCGACTCGTATTCGCGTGTCCGTTAACCGGTATTCTGATTCGCTGACTACCGAGCCGACGACCGTTCGACAACCGCGAAATTCTAGATACAATTTAAAGCCGTGTCTACCCTGCGTGACAATGAGACGGCCTTTACAAGTATGCATCCGACATTTACATCACGTTCGTCATTGTCAGGGACATCGGAGCAGGCAGCGCGACGTGCATGCAAATGCACCTAGGATAGCGGTAATTCGAACACGTTACGTGTTACCAAATAACGTGGAAACGTTAAAACGTTGTACGCTTAAATCGCCTCCTCTACGCGCGCGACGCGCTCGAGTCGTCTCTGCGGCGCGCCATGTTGCGTCGTCTGTAGTCTACTCGATGCGTTCCTCTTTTCAAAAAAAAAATGCTCGGTCATTTTGCAAAGATAAACTTGAATTTAACGTAAAATATTTATGATCGAACGATAGATGTTTTCAGCCACAAAACGACAAATTTGATTTATTCGCGAATACCGTGCAACTTGAAATGCAAAGTCGTACACGAAACAATCGAGTGTATAAATGGCGGCGCGTGTGTAGGTCTTTGCGGAGCCTCGCCTTTCATGCGGAGCCCGAGTGGCACACTCGAACTCGAGGAAATTCGAGCCCTCAAAGGCCAGCTAACTTCTTTTTTACCGGCTATTCGACTCCAGTCGCCGTATGGCGAAACACTCATCAGTGACGCTCAATTCCAGTCGAGGGCGCACCGGCACCTCGTTATTGCTCTCCGACTCGAGAAGATTCCTTTTACGAGGCGGCTCGAGTTTCGTCGAATTTGCGTCGACGAGAAAAGCAATGCTGCGAACCGTGTTTCGCGACTTATTCGCGACTTGTTCGCGATTTATTCTTGATTATTCGATACGAGTTTGTTAAAAACTCGAATACAGAACACGACAAGTTCGACGCTGCTATCGGAGATTTCCAATTCCGAATCGAACGTATCTAATCGCGACGCAACGTATTAAAGTTTCCTCGGAATTCCATATTTGTTCGCGAATTAATTTCCGATGTTTACACAACATCGAGCGTCTAACGTTTGCTATCGCGTACAGGCCGTTATCGTAACGAGAGATTTTTCAAAAATTTCCATGTCTCATCGTCAGGGTCACCTCGACAAACAAAGACTCGAAACGTCAACATCGCCGATTACGTGTCCGCGTGGAACGTCGTTTCGTATCGCGAGACGTTATGCTAACCGACGCACATAGGCGTATGACTTTCCAAAACGCAGTTGCAAAACGATTCTATTGAATTCTAGCCCCATGAAACATGTATGAACCACGCATCGACAGCATGAAATTATAACATAAGATGCATGCTAACGTTACGGAATTGTATATGTACATACCCAAAGAGAACGTAGCGTTGCAATGCCAGATGGTTAACAATGTTGCACATGTTCCTCTTCGAAATTCCTTTTTCGCGTGGACAAGAATCACACTCGTTGAATAATACATCGTCGGCGTGGAATTCGAACGAGAGTTGCTTTCCATCCCGAAAAAATCCACGAGGTTACCATCCTTTCGAAACTTTGACCGACGCGTCGATGTCGCTGCGTGGCTGATCGCTCGGCTGTTCGTTAGGCTAATGACGGTTGTCTTCGAAATCGCATAGCAAATGAGTCTTCCGATAAGGGGAGCGCTCGGTTCGTCGCGACAAGATCGTTATTTTGAAATCAGAGATGAAAGAGACTTGTATCTAGATAAATATTGCGCTCGATTCCGTTTCGATTTGAAATCAGCCCGTTTGATATCGCGACGAGCCCGGTTTCTCGTGTTTTGCGAGATTAACTTACCCCCTGAATCGCTGCACCGCCGTCGAGACTTCCGGTAAAACGTGACACGTTCCTCCGTGTCGCGGACAATCTGCCGCTTCGTCAAGATTACGGCGGCGTTGGGTCCTCGAGTTTCGTGAGGTTGAAGAACTCTTCTCTCTATAACCGAGCTGCGGCAGATGAATCTACCGATAGGACGAACCGCGTTCCACCGCGAAAAGGAGATGCCACGGGTCACGCGCGATCAACGAGCGAAGAAGACGCAAGGTCGGTAGAACGTGTAACTCGGAATATTTCTTTTTTCACGACGGATTGGGCGGCATTGTGCGTGCTCAGCGCCCCGCGGCCATCGTAATGGCTTATCGACGTTCGATCTCGCGGCTCGCACGCGGACAATAACGCTGCCTCGAAAAGAGATACCTTTTGTCCGTTGGAACTCGCACGCGGTGAGAGTACGTTCTAAATCGATCCGATACACTTCTGACCTGTGTCAGAGATTGCACGTCCAGACTGGCTGGCAATAATTGTTTCGCGCGATCGATATATCGCCACGAAGCGATATCCGCGATCCATCTGCCTCGTGGCCCTTGCGGTCTAGCATCTTATTATTGGTCATCCGATACGCACGGACACCTTTCCCCCTCGGATTTAATGTTCTGTTTGAATTAAAGCGGGCCCCGGAGCACCTGTTCCTGCATCGTAATTTATCATTTTTCTCCTTCGTAAATTAAACTCCTCAAGGTCGTGCGAAAAATTCCTGCCCAGATATACGAACGTGTACATTCATTATTCGTTGAATAGAAATTAGAATTTACGTTACAGGATCGAATATCGTAGAATGGACGAGCAAACATTTTGTACCACTTCTGGGTACCGACTCGCGAATCTTCCGGTCCAAAAATACTTGCGATTTCCAAGATCGAAAGAGTAATTTATATGCATGCGCGCATTTACGATCCTATCGAGTTAACTCGAAGGTAACCTATCAAGAGTAAAGGTACCTCGGTCTCTCCGCGAGACCAGCAAGGAAGCCTCATCATTGGTGGAAAGGGATGCCCAGCGATGTCCCAGGCAGAGGCAGAAAGGCGTTCGCCAGTCTCCTCTCGACGCTCCGAGTCAAAACGTTCCGGTCTCTCGTCTGTTTTACCTCTCGCGTACCGTACACTTGTCAAAATACTTTCCAACAATTTCACGTGCAACTCTTCGTCGTCCCCAGTCATCGTTTCCCTTGTTTCGTCGCCTGCTCGTCTATTCCAACTGTCCTCGACTAAAATCTACAAATTGTAAACAGACTGTCGTCCCGTACTTGTGAATCGTTCGGTTAAATTTCGACCGTGACCCGATCGTTGGCTGTCGATTTTCGCTCGTTACGCGTCATGTTCGATTTTCAAAGTGCTTCGTTCCTGATCGTCGGGCTGTGCAACCTGCCCAGTCTTCTCCAAGGATTGTGAACGATCAGGGGGATCTTAAAACTCGAGTGTTTCGAGGGATCGGGTTCCTGCTTCACAAACCGCAGCTACCGAATCGCAACACGAAAAGGTATTTGAATATTTTCTTTCAAGGCTTCTCGATTCTCCACGTAGTTGTTCAATTGGCGTACAAGACCTATTCGCGCGAATAACGTATCTACTAGAGCTCGCATTCCGATGCTAATAGCGAACGAGAAATCGAAGCGAAGATTTCGATTCGACAACCGAACGAATAAACGGAACGCAACACGGTGGCGCCCGACGCGATGTGCGCGCGTAATCTGGATGGAAAATATTTATACGAGGATGGTGCTCGAACTCCACGAAATCGTAGAATTGATTTTCCGCTGGTAATGATTGAGATCGCGTCTCTGCTCGCGAAAGTTCGGCTGTCTCCAACGTTGGCGTAATCGACTGTAATCATTCGCTATCGACGACCGAGTCACAAATTAATCGCGTCATCGGCGTACCGGTGTCGAATAAAATCCGGTCGAAAGGAAAACCGCTTTCGACGTCGCGGAGCCAATGACCGATCGGCAGTCTCGAAATTACGATCCAGTCTTCCACGACGTTCGCGCATACGACGCGAGAACGCTTTCAGCAGCAGGATGCGGGGCATTAAAGGAACGCGCGCCATGCAGCTTCGCGGGTTAAAAAAGAATCTCCCCCGGACCGTGGGCTTCCATCCGTGTCGTCTAAAAAGCCTCTGGAACGAAAAAAGGTACGATAAATTGTCGCGACGCGTTCAAAAATATTCGTTTCAAGGTTTACGGACCCGTCGCTTCCTCGTTTAACCTTACGAGACCACGCTGGGGACCGGACGACATTTAGGTTCTTACACCCACCGGGAAAAATATTTATGACGTCGACGTTACGATTGATGCTGCATCAGACTCGCTGTGCGCGAGGAATTGAAACAGCAATCTGTTTAAGTTTGTATGGCAGTGGTGGGTCTAAATTTATCGCAGCCTGGAACTAATAACTTTCAGGGGTCTATTCCGTTTTTTTTTTTTTATTTTATACGTTTTACGAAATACATCTTCGCGTTGCTATCGTTGCCGTCGAAGCAACAAAATCCAGATGCGACGCGGACCTAACTCGGACACAGCGTCTGGAGTAATTCGAAGAGAAAGGAATACGAGGAGTCGCGATTTTCTGACCAGCGACCCGGGTGATTTTCGTTAAGCAGATTTGCCCGGAGGATGGAGTTGCAAAAATTCAATTTGTCGCCCGCGTTGGCCTCGAAGCCACACTTTCACTCGCCACCCACAGAAAAGCGCAACAGCAGCTGCCGTTCGCTCGCTCTCGGCTCGTTTGCTCGCGCGCACGATATATTTCGAATCTCAAGGGTAGACCACGCCAAGGGCTTCGGACGCTGGCAGCTGACACTGCAGATGGGCTCCACCTGTCTCGTACTATTTACCGACTCGTCTCGTAGTTATTTCTTCGAGAAATCAGAGGCACACGCTCGAATGCCGTGGCAACGAAGCCCTCGAGAAAGCCTGGCATCCCGATTGATTTCTGTCCCGCCACGCAGGAAATTGTCCTCGACGATTTTTGCGGCTCCTGAAAACTACCGACAACGTAAAAACATCGTCGTTGCTTTTAGACTTTGTACATGCGTAACAGTAAAATTGCGACAGTATCGTGACACGTTTCTCGAAATACTCGTCGATTATCGAATCGTAAAACTCGTTGCTACGGATCGCTCGTCGCTATTAATCCACGGCTCCCGATGGACGCAATGGCCATCCGCGTTCCTCGCAGAAAAGGTGTCTTAATTCTATTCGAGCGTCGTTAACGCGTCGAATGTTTTTCCTCGTCGATTTCGCAATTGGCGTTCGCGGGAAGAGCCAGAGAGGAGGGTCGTCGAAGTCTCGCGAGAATAAAAGGGACGGGGTTCGCGTCATAGACGGCACAATTAGCTCATTCATCGGACGCATCTCCGCGTGCGTGCGTACGGTGACGTATACATATTAAATTCTCGCACGACACGCACCGATGTGTTCGTCGGAAGAGGCTGGTGTTATCTGGCAGGCGCCAAGTACTCGGTCGCTGTAACTCGCGAGATACATACTCTGTTAACCGCGAGAGCGATCGGCCGGCCGTTTATTTATTTCGCAAGCGGCGTGTGTGTATCGCGTGCCCCGTAGGGATCGCGCGAGCGTATAATGCCCGACGATTACCTCGCGACGTGTACCGATTCGGCCGTAGATTCCAGAAGTGTTAATAATACACCGCCGACGCGATAATTTCTATCGCGTCCGATGAAGCTGCGCGCTCTAATTGCCCTAACCGCGTGCATCGTCGTCGAGTCGATATTCGTTACGCGCCGTGAAACGCAGACTTCGCGGCGATGCGGCGCCCAAGAAACACGCGAGCTCCGTCTCCCCGACTAGCCGTTGGTTAACTTAAATTGTTCAACCGCGACATCGCTAGTCATTCTTCGTTTAAAAGTATTCTCGGAGCACAGAAGGTTTTACTCGTTCGTCGTATCGTGAATACCGAAGCAAGCAGCAATTTTCCGATTCCACCGTGGAATTCGTTTAAAATAGCTCGCGGACCACGCGATAATACGTGGCAAGCTAGATCTGGCCCGCGGGGCCCGAGTTTGCCAAGCCCTGACTTCAACGCCACGGTTACGTCACGTTCAACCACGGTCGCGCTACTTGCGATAATGCCCACTGTTTGCCGTTTTCCATCAATGGACGGGACAGATGGGATCTTGGGTTAGGCATTAACCGCCGATCGCGCCATTCCATAATTATCCGAGTAACGGCCAGGCTCTGGCGAGGTTTAATTGAATCTAGGCTAATTAACGACGAGCTAATAATTGCGCGAACACTGGCGTCGCTCCGTGACCGTGCTGCGCCCGGTAATTTTACCATGCTTCCTCGCTCTGCGGTCTGCGTTATGGGAGTTACGTCGACTCGCGTTGTAATACACACTTTTGCTGGAACGCGGTGTTGGAGCGCGCGCCTCGCGCTTTCCTCGCAGCGAACAGTACCCGTAAACGAGTTTACGATTAAACGATCCCACGCGACGTCAGCATCGGCGCGTTCCGAGGTTAGGCTCGACGAGCTGGAAAGTAACGTCGCGGACGCGAAAGAAACTTCCCCGAACGGAAAAGAGACAGGTGGGGCAAGGTACTTTGAAACCGCTCGGATCGTCGTTAATTGCGAATCGTGCCCGTGAGAGCGAACGCGCCTATTATCGGAGCAAGTTTGCGTTACGTCGTCCTCCAAGAACGGGTACCCACGCGACGGGCAACGCACTTCCGGTCAACCACGCCTCCGGCCGTGACGAATTCGGCCGATCGACCGGTGCAGTTCCTTTCATTTGCATAATCGCCCGAGATGCTTCCGACCGGCCACGAATTCGTGATGAATTATATTTCAGATCACGAAGCAGGAACACGTGGGCCGCATACCTTTCCAGGTGTTCGGTGCGACCTTCCGCGTCACAAAATGTAACACGTTTTTGCGATTAAATTATTCGTTGTTCACCTCGACAGAGCCTATTACAATCTCTATTTATTCGTTCGGATAAGCTAGATCACCTAGTCTTAGAAATTCCCTACGATACGGCGAAGCGCGTTTCAACGTCGAAAAAAGGATTTTGACGAACCGATACTTTGATTTAATTGAACACCGCGAACGCGCCTCGATACGTCCCGGCGCTCGAGATCCTCCCATGGCGTCGTGCCGGCTCGCCTCGATGCCGTTTTCAGCGGCAGCCCGCAATTTCTCGTAATTATTATGTTTATCTTTCTCATTCACTTAAGTCGGTCCTTCGGTTGCCGGTGTTCGCCCCGGCGGATCTTACCGAAACGATTTCGCGTTGTACCTGCGGACACGCTGACGCCGCCACGCGTCGACCATTACGTCGTTCGAGGGGCGTTACGGCCGATCCACTTTGTCAAACTCGATTTGCGTGATTCCCTTTCCCGTTCGGACGACCGCTCTCGAAATCTTGCTCTTCCAATTAGTCGACGATTTATCGCGTCGCTGAAACGACTCTTTGCGAGGCTAAACGACTTCGACACGACTTGGACGCCGAAAGCTTCGAACTGCGAGGTTCGACGACGTCCGGATATGCTCGCGCGACGTCCGAACCTCGCACGCAACACGGCAGTCCGGAGTTTCTTAAGTAAAAAAAAATTAACGTATCGAGGTGCAGCTTTTTCGTCGAGGTAGGAGCATAAATGTGACGTGTTGCGAGAAAAGGGAAATATGAATATCTCTGATTGATAATACAGTGCAAGAGAAGAAATAAGGGAACGAAACGAAGGGATTGTTCTGGTCGTGGAGTTCTCGGTGCGACGACGAGGAACGTCGTCCCCTTGGTGAATCCGGTCGGTCCCCGCTAGCGGAGTTAGCTCGGACGGATTGTTCCGCGGTGCACGGCGGAGGTCCGTGGAAAAGTGTAAAGGAAAGGGAAAGAGGAAAGAGGAAAGAAGAGACGAAACGGGCAGAGAAGGGAAGAGAAGGTTGGCGAAGAAGAGTTGACCGGAGGAGGAGAGGACGGGTCGAAGGAGCAAGAAGAAGAGAGAGAAGTTAAGATGGTCCAGCGCGGGCAGCATCAGCACCGCACCCGGAGGTGATGACCTGCTCAAGGCCACCCGCTCCCAACCTAAGAGACCGGAGAGGAGAACCACTCTTCTTATTTTTCGTTGCTCCCTTTTCTCTCTTTCCACGTCTTCCAGGCACTCCCTCCTAACCTCCCGATTCTCTCTTTCTCTCTCCATCTCGCTCGAATTTCCTCTTCTGGCCAACCTATCCTCTTCCTGTTCGTCGCTCCGCCGATGGTTCTCTCTTTTTCCGCTGGTTCCCTACCCCGAAGCCCTTAATGTCAACTTCCCGGCCGGTCCTTTCGTCGAGTTTCTTCCAGTTCGATCGCATCGAAAAATGCGTCCTCCGAAACACGCTCGGCTCGGGGGAGCGAATTTTTACAAATTCGCGCAGGACCGCGGTCTCTCGTCGCTTCCGACTAAACGGTCCGTAAAATTGAAACGGACATAGAATTTTAACGGTCGATTAAGCCACGCGTTCGCGTCGATCATCGCGCGTTTAAGCGTACCGCGGCGCGCCATCAGGGGTTTACGATGCACCGCAAGAACTCGTAAAGCGGCCGATATCGCTCGCCTTAATCTGCTTGCTCCGCGAAAGCATTCGTTGTCGAAGAATGCGGCGACCGTCCTCTACCACCGACGAAAATTCTACCCGTTCTTCGTTTCGCAGCCTCGGCTAATTCCATTGACCGTTTCTCGAGATCTCGCGCCTCTTTATCCGCCGCTAGTTCAGAAACGAAAAGTCAGGATCTGCCAGAGTCGAAGAACAGCCCCAGACAGTTTGCACTTTGTACGCGACCAACTTTGAATTTCGAGTCAAGCGTAAAAGACCTTTTCGATCCGGCACGCAATTCCAGCTAGACACCCAGAAACTAGACAGCCGTAATTTTCCGAATCTATTTGCGGCACCGTCGCAAATTACAGCAATTAAATCCATTTTTCCATCCGACCGTTTCAAAACAAGAGAACCCACCGCCGAGTATTAATTAATGCCGAGCGAGTTCAAAGGTTCCTTAGCGTTGGAGAGGGAGCATGCCGAACGCGGCGTGTACTCGAGATATGGATCTGTACGGGCAACATTCGTTAAGCGATCAAGGTCGCAAGAAACAAGCACGAATGATAAAGAGAGACGGAGACCGGTCGAGTCCCCGTAGCCTGTTTAGCGTTCCGCGTATTTCGCTTATTGCTGAATGAATGTAATGGTGTTCTGCATACGGAAACCGGCCGGTGCTCCGTACACGCAGGAAAACAGAAACCTCGTCGGTAGCGTTAATTCGCGTCGGTACACGCTCGTACGACGCGTGGTCGTGCGTCTCGCGGATTCTCCGCGCGCATCTCTGGATGTTTAATAAGCGACAGGTCAACCGAAGTCAACCGTGCAGCTGTGTCCACTAGCCAGAAGCTATTACCTCGACTCATTATCACTGGACTCCTTCTGTGTACGCGCGTTTCTTATTTCGCGACCGCCTCCCGAGTAATTTTTCTTAATTGAAACGTTACAATCGTCTCGCCTGTCACTCGCAATCGCGGCGCTGGAAAGCTCGTGGAAACGTTCAGCCGTAGACACAGGCGTACAAGGACGGAACGTAAACTTGGCTTATAGACGAGGGGAGCGACTGTTTGGTTCCACGCGCACTCTTCGATTTTCATTTTACGTCCACGGATTTAGCAAAGGCACAACCTTCATTAGTTTCTTTTCTCTTTGTTGCAGCACGGAATGACGAGGTAGACGACGCCACCGGAACCGCGAACATCTCCGAGGTTGCCGCTGAAAATCTCAACGAAGGTAAGCGATAAGAAACAAGAAGTAGAGTGGTGGTGGTATATTCGACGCAGTACTGTCAGAGTTTTCGGAATGTACACCGAATTCGATGGTCGTAGAAATATGGGCGTACGAAATCCTTTTGGGTGTTTGGCTCAATATTTGAAGGTAAACACAAAATTCCATCACATTTTGGACATTCTATGCTCGTTGGCTCCGTGTCGCTCACGTCGCTAAAATCCGCTATGGCTGGCAACGCTGATTCAAAGTATGCGATCGTACAGGATTCGAACGTCGAGTCTCGATACGCCCGATCCTCGGACCGCGCTCCGAGACTTCTATTCAGCTCGCACGGTTGAAAAGCGAATGCCGTGAATCGTGTGTCTAAACTTTCGAGGCACTCTCGCGTGGCATTCCGTTCTCGGAACCGCGTGTCTTCTTACAAAAGAAACCGATTGGAATGAATTTTTTTTAAAAGCATGGCGAGAACGTCGACTCGGCGTGACCGACAATCGCTCCGCGGCCCAACAATGGCGCTAAGCCGCAAATGCTCGCTGGTTTACGACGACGCCGATGGCCCGTCCTTCGGTCGGCGGTGAAAGTCCGCAAGAATTCGCCCTCGATCGTGTTGCGAACTTCACATTGAGATACTCGTGACGTGTCACGAGCCCGTTCCAGCCCGTTCCGACCCGGTAATGAACGCCTCGTGTCGAGATACACGGACGAGAGCGAACAAGGGACGCGAACTATCTTTCAGACGTTGCAGTCACGATTCTCGTACCGCGCGTATTTCCTACGGCGAGATTTCGTTCCCGAGGGAATGGAAAAGATCCGTCTCGCGCGATTCTTCGACCGTAAACGAAAATTTCGATTTTTCTTGTCATCCCCAAAAGTATCTTTGATCCAATTACTTGTACAGATCAAATGACCGAGTCCGCGAGTTCTGTTCGTTCGATGGACAATTAGTCATTGCAGGTTTTCTTTCGTTCTCTTATCCGTTACATGTACAATTATGGGTGAACCGATGAGAACAGTCCGATAAGTCGTATTGTTAATTTAAACGATAAGAAACGACACTCGACGCGTCGAGACTGATGTCACCGATCGAAATCGTCATCGAACAATCTGGATAACGTATTGTTTCGCCGCTAGTCTGTATCGAAAGTTAATATTCCGTGCGTTTCTATTGAAAAAACACACGGTATGATGTCTTAACCGACATTCCGACGACTTTAAGCGACTTCCAGGTTTTAAAATTCCGTCCTCCTCGTTAGGTCTTCCGTGCGCGGAATATAGATCCCGGATTCGGAGTCCTTTTAACAAGATTATGCTTCTAGTAGTCGTACCGTCAACAAACAAAAAGCGAGCAATCCCAGCAGTCGAACCTCGTAACTATATCGAGACGCGTTGTTCGCTAAGTTTGCATTCGTTTCCATCGGTTCGATACGTCATTGGTTCTTTTCGCGCGGTTAGCGGCGAACCTGGCCGACACCAGTTTCCCCGGTAAAAAAAAATTAATTGGATAAGATTCTCGAGGTGTGATTTGCTTCCTACTCGTTTCGCGGGCCACTCCCACGAGTAGAGCATGCGAAGTCAGCGTCATCGGAGTCTCGAGGCACGTACGGGGACGCGCGCCGCCGGCTTCGATGCCGATGTTTCCGCATTCTGGAATCTTATTTCTGACTATGGAATATTCCCTGTCTAGTCGACGCGCACCGGTAAAAAATTGCGGCCACCGGTGCAGCCTGTTTCCAAAGTTCTGCGCCGCCTCGAAACCTCGACGTCGCGTAACAAAGGGATTTCATAGGCCGACGCGAGATTTCCGCGAGTTTACTTGTACTAGTCCGTTAACGAGGAAATACGATAAACCTCTCACGGATGCATCCTTCGAGTTCCGAGACGACAGCGATTTCGCGTTGCTGCAGGCAGCGCTGTGCTCCCTGGCGCCCGCAACAAATCACCACAGCTTTACTACGCAGTGGGAGCATGCATCTTTCGGGAAATTGTTTGGACACGGAGTCGAACAATTTCGCTCTGGCTAAGTTACAACGTTGCACTCCGGTCGGGGTTAACTCTTCGCGAATGCACGAGCTTTTATCGTCCCGTGCTTTAGCGTAGAAATTTGATTTACGAGTCAAACAAGAAGCGAAGTATACGCGAAGGTGAAGTTATGCGGATGCGCTTCTATCTATGTACCACGTCCAATCGGTAGCGTTGCTGCGATTGGCGTTAACCCGTGGGGACCTCTTCCCGTACCAGACCGTATAGAATCCTTGGCATTGATACTTTTTTGTACCAATGTTTATTTTTCATTTTTAAGCGCACATACTGCATTTCTCTTTTCCGTTACATATATATCTCTTTGGATTTATGATATTATATATGTTTTTTTTTTTAAATAGCGACGTTGCTGCGTCCAATACGGCGCAGTATAACCCAAAAATACCCCGTCCCCGAAAGGTTAACTCGTCGGCCCTTTGACCCACGCGTCAACGCCGAGCGTACAGAGCGAAGAAAATAATGTGGGAACAGTGCGATCGCTGGAGAACTGGGCGTGCATAGAACGAAGGAACCGTGGCTCCGAGACGACTGCCACGAAATCAACCTTTCCCGATTCATCACCGAATCGGCATTGATTTCGCCATCGGATCCGTTACCGTGTTTTATTACCAGACTTTTGGTCGACGCGATCTTTTTCCACCGACAATGCCCGTCGCTATTCTTTCGCGAATTTTCGATTAGACGATACTTTCGTCTGCCAGCTGCAAGATATATGCTTGTCTGAACCGATTACAATCATTCGATCAGCTGATCTCGCGATCAAGATACCGCACGACTACCACGATTCGTTGAACGCTGCCACAGGATATTCCCGACAATTTGTGCTGCAGCCGGTAAGAAACGATATAAAACGACCCCGACGGAACAGTCACGTCTAAAGTAAATATAATACAGAGTTACCGCGACGTCGATAATGCGATGAATATTTGCGAAACCGTTCTTTTTTCGCGAGAAGTATAGCAAGCTTTATTCGTCTTGTCATCGCCAATTTAATCTTGCTTAAGTTTAATCAGTTTTAATTACTTCCCAAGGCCTTTGCGCGGCTTATCGCTTTTCCATTACCAGTCGTTTAGGACCGATCGAATCGATTCGGATCTGATTGCGAGTTACATGTTTCGACGTATTTAGCTGTTCTTTCGAGTCTTTTACAATCTAGGTACTCGATTTAATATAAAAATTGGCGCGCTTAATCGTTTCTATCCTATCGATTGACGCTATCGAATGACATCCGGCGAGCATACCCTCAATAATCTTCTTCCGTCGATGTCGAAACGGAAGTCGAACGCGAGGAATGTTGGCCGTTTGAGATGAACAGGCTGAAAGTAACGCGATACTCGTAATCGGTATTTTCGAATCCTTTTCTTCGTCGCGACCGCGTCTCTGCGTGCTCGAGCGCGAAACCCGTAGAAAAGATGGCGAGACCGCCCGCGATTCGTGATGTAACGCGTGAATCAGAGTGTGAGATTGACTGGCAAAAAGAGATTTCGCAACGTCGACTAACGAGTACCGGCCTCCCTTATCGAATGTTCCTCGGTACCGGACGTTCGAACGGGTCACGACCGGTGTTTAAACGACGAATTACACACAAATAACATAACCACAGGTTGGAATGAGTTTCCACGCGGAGGTCTTGCGTTTCAGGGTTGGGTAGAATTTCATTCGAATGGTGCACGACAAATAAGAACTCCGTACAGCGATTTATTCGACGCGAAACGTAATTTGTATAGTTTCTTATCGAACAATGTCGTTTCAATGCACTGGCTAAACGATTATCTCGATCGTCTCTTATACCGTATCTTTTTCCGTGGCACGTGTTTTTGTTTGCGCTCGAGGTAAACGAGCCAACGCCGGAGATCGTGATTTCTCGACTTTCCGTCGATCGAACGGATCGATCGATTACTCGCCGGCGTCGCAGACGCCTTTCAATTAAAACGCTTCAATTAAAATTACGCTCGCAGGCAAGCGATTTCCCGAGTAATAGGCGAAACGCACGCCCAGACGTTGGCCGAGGCCGTTCGCAACGTGATATTAACCCTTCAACGCGGTTCGACGTATTAAGTTGCGTCCCACTTTTCTAGGCCTAAGTATCCGGAGAAGACAATCGGTTTTTCGATGTACAAATCACAGGCCGCAGGCTGTGTAATAGGCTCGAAATTGTTGCGCAATTAAGGACGCGAAACCTTGCTTTTTCCACGCCACCGTCCAGACTCCTCAATTCAGCGGTTCTAATCGAATCTCTTGGGAAACTCAACGATCTTAAACGGGGAAATAGGTTTCGGACTATGTTTCTTCTTTTGCCGATTTGCATGAATTTATTTAGCAAGAAAGGAACGTATATAATTTAAGAGAACTTACATTCGGAGTAACATCATTGTTCAACGTATCATTTTATTGCGAATGACAGAAAATTCTTTCGTTTATACACTTCTAGAAATCCAATATTGAATTTTTGGGGGAGGAATTTAGTTCCATCGAATCATTGAACAAACGTAGTCCTAAACCTATTTCCCCCGTTAAACGCGCGGAGATAATACATTTCGAGTATTCGCGCGGATTAAAATACCTTAAAACGATGATACAGTCATTGGCGTAAAAATGCCGATGATTTGCCTAGTGCCTCGTTGGAGTGAGTCATTTCATCTTCGAAATAAAACAGCCGCTATTTATCATGTAAATCGAGGGATCGAGCCAGCGGCTAATAAATTCGAGAGCAACATTGGAGTTACGGAGCGGTACGCGAGCGTTGCTATCACCGAAATTTCCACTGGCGGTAGACGCAAAGTCTCCTAGGTCGCGGTGACGTGAGTCGACGTGACAAAGGAACGCCGACGGCAGAGATAAAAATAACAATTAATGATTCGCGTACAAGGTTCTACACTTTCGTGACACGTCGACTCGCGGAACGCGATTCGAATCTTCTCGCGCCAAGGACGAACGGGCTTTTAGGCACCCGCTCGACGGATTCTTCTTTCGGAAAGAAAGCGTGCTCAGCGTTGCGACAAACGCAATTTCGCGTTCATAATGACGTAATTTACGGTTGCAATTGAAGTAACCGCGGTTATCGCGCTCGAATAGGCGCGTCAGATACCGACAGACGTTCGGTCCTCGAATTCTTTCTTCTCTCCAATTACTACTCAGCGTTATACTTATAGAAAGGATGTACATCTTCGTCTTTGAGACCTATGCGTGGAGTTGAAAGTATTATTTTCTCAAATGAAATTCCTTAAATTCTCGTAAATTCCTTACGATGGGCGGAGAAAGCGTATACACTGGCAACCGTGCGAGCACCGTTCGAAATACGATGAAAAAGAAATTGCGAGGTCATGATTTTCGTAAACAACGCGTCATCCTTGAAAAATTCGATGCCGATTCGTCGTAAACTCCACCCACGCCGGATCGTTGCGGTTTCCTTTAAAACGTACACCGTCTCGACGACCTTCGAATCCAATTCGATCGCTAATATCTTTCGTATCTCGTACCGCGGATTCGAGCCATAAATTTTACCTCGAAATCCAATCAGAGCTATCTCTGTCGATAACCTGACGGGTTAAGAGATCCAGCCGAGGGATAATGGACCGGCGAGTACTTCCTGCTCGCTCACCGATCGGCACCGTGGCTGGCCTTCCATCCGAGTATTCGACACCAAGAACTGCCATGGCTTGGCACGTTTGACACGCGTCGACGATTAATCAGCAAAGTACACGTTCGACGATAGCGCGCGTCATTCCGCGATTAATAGTTCTTAACCTTCGAGTGACGGTGCTTTAGCGCATTCCATTCTTCGGAGTGTACTATGCTTCTTGGAACGGCTGCTCCAGTCATATTTCGAGCAATGGAGCCCAGAAACGTTAGTCAACTCTCGCGAAGAGTTTAAAACGTGCCTTTAATATTTGCTTCGAATCGAAGAATTACGCTTTATTCGAACGCGACGCAGTCTGCTTCGTCAGGATCGAAAGGGGACACACTGGTTTCTCTACCGAATCGCCCATAAAACAGATCGTAACCTACATATTTTTCTCACCGACATAGTTTTCCAGCCGGTTCGAGCTAGCCCCCTTTCGAGGGACCAGCAAGATTTCATAAGCGGTGAGGATCTGAGGACACCGATTCCGAGATCCGGAGACCAAAAACGTGTCCGCGACGCGTCGCAGCGGCAACGACGACGACGACGATAACGACGGTCACCGCTTTATCCCTTCTCTCGTGCGAACGCGTAACTGCTCGATGCCGGTGCTAACCGCGGAAGCTGGCCTCGACGAGCAATGTCGTCCAGTCTTACGAGAGCCTTCTTACCGGTAAGAACGAGTCCTCTCCTCCTTCGTTTCGGTACCCTTTGGGCCCGAGTTGTCTCCGTTTTTCTCCGAATCGGTTCTCCAGGGCCGCTCGCGCGCTATGAGCCTCTTCGTGTCACAGTTCCGAGTCGCCGTTCGAGGAACCGCATAAACGGTCTTCCCGATCGTTCAGCCCTTCGAGCGATCGGTCGTGCAAATCTGTTTGGGGAAATACTTGCGAGACCAGGTCAGGAACGAGCAAAATTTTACAAGAGTTGCATTTTCAGGGGCATGCGAAACATTTCGTTTTATAATTCCAATTCCGATCGTGATTCGCTACATTCGATAAGCAGTCATTCATTTGTCTTCACCGATTACTCGACATTTTTCCTTCGATACTACCTTCGGACCAGGTGCATATCCGCGACTTCTTCGAAACCGAACCGTGCAAACTGGACTCCGTAGTCTACGCCACGAGATTGCTCGCGAGGAAGCCTGACCCTAGGAGCACGATGCTGGAAGCTCGATTTTTCAACGGAGTCGAGGTCCGTACTCGTCGATCGGTCGATTATACGATCGAAGTCACGAGAAGCCTGTTCCCGTCGATTGATGGGCCACGGAATAGTGCATCGAAGCGAATTCCTGGGTGATTCTGCTGGATGTTGACAATTCGACTGGATTTCTATACGTTTCTTTTTAGAAAAATGGAACACGCTCTCGTGGTCGTTTCGAAATGGCGTTACCCGAGGGGATCCACCCACGAGCTCGAGACCCGCGCGTGCCGCTGACGAACCGATTAAAATTCCTAGCCGAATGCCGGCAGAGGCTACTAATCGGCGATACGCGCGTGCTCGTGAGTCGAGGGACGCGACTCGCTCGGCGTAAACCGCTAGCGTGTCCCACCGATCGCACCATATTTGTACCGATATCGGGGATAGCGAGCGGTCCGAGTACACGTTCTCGTTGCACGTAAACGCGACAAGTGTCCGTTTGCGCGCGTACAACGCTGGAATGCGAAACACGCGCTGTTAGTTAAATTAAAACGTCTCCGAGTCGTGCGCTAACGAGGGAAGGACCCGACCTGTCCCCTTCCGATTTTAACGCGCTTTCTCTGCATAGTGGAACACGGATTTCTGTCGCTATGCGCGGAACGTTAGGCGTAGACGCTCGATAATTTGATAAATATACTCTAACGAGACGAAGCGGTAACGCGAACAGCTCGGGCACCGTTCGCCGTCGATAGAAATTTCGATCGACTACGGAATCGGTTGAACGCGGAAACCGAGTCGAGCGTGTAACTTGACGAGCGATACGAGGCCCTCTGTTTCTGTTAAATGGCCGGAACGCCGTTGGTAGAAACAGGAAACTCGTAGGCGCTGTTCGTCTACGAATTACATAATACGCTTGCCGCGATTCTTCGCTGCCGGTGAATGGAATTTCCGATGGCACGTGGTGCATCGCGATACGGGAACAGCGCTCTCGTTTGCACGTGTATCGGCGATTAGCTCCATCGAACAGCAGCCGACCAAGAATGTTGAAGAGAAGTTATAGCGGGACGCGCGTTCTATTAGCGGCGGATAGAGGTGGCACGCGAGCAGCGATACGACCGTGAAACGAACGACATTTCGCCAAGCATTCTCCTTCTTCTTATCCTAGCGGATTGTTGGGATATCGTCTGGGGGATAGAACGGAAGTTAAAGCCGAAAAACTAGGAAAAGTGTCGGTCGAGTCGAAAATATTATTCCGTTCGTGCGTTTTCGCAAAGACGGCACGCTCGCTAAGAGCGCAGATAACGGGCGTACAAGTTTTATCAACGAGTGCGCGGGTTAGAATGTAGAAATCCTTGGATTCGAGCGGCCAGTCGCGAAAAATCCGCGGATCCGCGAGAGGGCTGTTCGCGGGTCGCGATTCCCTCGCGGACGGCTCGTGCTCGACTGGACTCGACGGTAAACGCTCCGGCGACGCGCGTGAAAGTAACGCGATTGCGTAAACTCGCTGATATACTTGCGGATTCTCTCGCGGACACCGACTCTCGTTGTCGACCTTTTGCCTCTCGTCGAGACCCAAAGTTTTCAGAAAGGAAATCCGTTTGATTTTATCCCGACTCGTGCTCGTCTTTCGAAGCTAGGCAACACTCTAAAGATCCAAACGCCGCTAAACGCGAGTCGTGGCGATAAAGGCGCGCAAAGATAGAGCTGCGCTGAACCAAATGGGAATATTTCCGTGGCCTCTCACGCTGAGATTGAAATTCTTGCGTTTCACCGCACCGGTCGCTCCCGGGAAGCGATAAACTAGAAATCAACGCACAAGAAATATGCGACGTCTCGTATTTTTAAATCTACCGGTTGCTCTTATCGCAATTGGATGCTAAATTCTATTAAACGTTCTCCTTTCCGTTCTCGTCGTAATCCTATGCTTCGAAACGTATTTGAAATTCTCCAACGGAACGACGTTGCAACTGGATCCGAGACTATTCGCACACGGAAAAATACGATAAGTAGTATCGGGAGTAGTTACAACATCGAGCCGACGAGTGCACGCGAGCGTGAATTCATCGGTTCTACACGCACGAGCTCCGAATTCGATCAGGCCGAATGGAAATCGACCGGTTCGAGCGATCACCTGATCGCTCGGATTATCTATAAATAAAACAGATTCCTGCGTTCGAGTACCGCTGATCTTCGCTAATCCTCGACTATAAACACGCGATCCATCCGCACGTGTCTATCGCAAATACGTTTCGGAGTGTTGGTTCGCGTATTATTTATTCGTTTACTTATTTCAATCGGCCAATTATATTTTTAACGCATGCCCCGTTCTTCGGCTGAAACGGTGATCGTTGAATTCAGCGATCGCTGACGTTGATTTCTGGTATGTTTTCAGAGACGGTAAATGGTAGAATGGACAACTGCGGAGGCGGTCAACGCCTGCCCCCGGACGGGGACGAATTTCCAGCAGCGTACCAAGAATTTGGCGGCAACAGCCAGCAGTACCGATTCGTGACGGCATCGACGACGGCTACCGCTGCGTCGACTATCGCCGCGAACGGCGGCCTCGTCTGCAGCGAGAACGATTCGTTCGTTGGCAACGAGAACTTCAAGCTGATCGAGAGCAACGTGGTCAGCGCGGGGAGTATAATCGTGGCGGACAACAGGGTCAGCCGGACGAACGTCGAGAACGTCTGTCAGGAGGTGAGCAAGGTTGGTCTGCCGAGCATCGAGATAAACGGCAAGACGGGCGTCGAGTCCGTGTGCCAGGACACGAACGTCTCGACTCGAGAGTTCCGCGTCGACGATGCCAAACCTTATATCGCGGACGACTTCGTTAAAAAAGCCGTGTCCGTGACCAACTACTCCAGCTACGGGAACCAGGGTAACGGTAACGTCATGCTGTCGGAGAAGAAGATCGAAATCACCGGGTACTATCACAAAGACTCATCGGTTATCGAGGAGGTTCGCGATCACGCCGAGAAAGAAGCTCCGGAGATCCCGCCGCCTTTGCCACTGACAGGTAACGTTCGCTCGCGATCTAGAGTAGAAAAATACGCTTTTCTGTCGACGCGTCTAACATCGTTTCGTTTTCACCAGGCCCGCCCAAGATGGAGACGATCGGCTTGTACGCGAGAAACGTGCCAGTGGAGTCGCCGCAAAAAAAGTTCTCGTTAAACGGCGAACTCTGGAGACAGGACGACAGATCCGAGAGGTCCGTGAGGGACAAGATCGCCATGTTCTCGTCGCAGAGCAGCCTGGAGAGCCCTCTGTTTCCGAATACGATGACGGTGCCACCCGCGACTAACAACGTCAGAAGGTTGTCCAAGTACAAGTCCACGGAGGACGTTTGCAGCGACGAGAAGAGCCCGGGACAAAAGGAGAGAGCCGCCTTCTTCGCGGACAGAACTCAAAGTTCCCTGGATCTAACCGACTCCGGCAGAAACGTCGGCCAAGAGAGAAAGTACGGGCAAAGATCGCCCAGCGTGCCACGGAGTCCGTCGTTCGCCTCGCCGACCATTCACGTTTCGAAAACGTTTCCTGTCGTTCCGCCGAAGCCGGTGACGCCTACGTCGTTGATAAGCACGTTCGAGATATCATCGATATCTAAGTCGTCGGTGAAGAGTTACGCTTCGAATACAACACCGCCCAACAGTCCTCGGAACAACGTCGCGACACCGTGCTTCGGGAACAATCAGAATTCTTCGAGCGTGCCACCGAAACCCGCCGCGGCGATGTTGTCTCGTGCCACGAGTTTCTCCGGGTCGACGCCTTACGGCCAGGATCGAATCTCTTCGCCGAACGAGCTCTCGACCAGCTCGCAGATCGCCAGGACGAACTCTTTGGCGTCCACGTTCAGAAGACCCAGCGAGGACATCAGGAGGACCAGTCTGAACCAGCTGATCGAGCAAAGGAGGAAGTCGATATCAAAGCTAAGGGGTTTGGTCATTCCGGAGAAGGAAGCCATACCTATTGACGCGCCCATCGTCGATCTGCCCGAGATCAAGTCGCGAGATTCCATCTTGCTGCATCAGGTAACCGTGTTCCTATCCTTGAGAATAATATACGCGAAGCAGTCCACGTACAAATTGGTAAGAGTATTCTATCCTCTTTTTGTTGTTGTTGTTGTTGTAGCTACCGAAAGCCAACATACAGGATAAGTGGGGTTCCCAGAGTTCTCTGGCGAGCAACGCCAGCACAGCGAGCGTCCCTCTGAAAGCCACGGCGTCCTTCAAGATGCCAGCCCCTCAGATACACTCCAAGTACTCTCCGGCCTTCAAAAGGAAAAGCCTCGCGGTTTACGGCTCTTCCTCGACGAACTCGTCCGTGAACGGCAGCATAGTGAAATCCCCGCAATCGTCGACGACGACGATGTCTTCCGAGCCGCCAAAAAGTTTGGAGAGCATCTGCAGCCCGACGAGAAGCGACTACAGCTTCGAGTACGCGTCGACGGCCAGTTCGCCCGAGGGACCGCGCGATAGACCGAAAACTATCCAGAGGAAATCGCGCGTGGATTACGATGACTCGGATAACGATTCGGCGGTGAGCAGTTCGCGAAGCAGCATCTCCCGTGGCTTCAGTCCTCCCATGTCGCCGGTTCCGTCGGAACGATCCACCGTCTCGTCCGAACGATCTTACGTCTCCACGGAGACGAATTATCGGCACCGAAATCTTATCATGGACAGTCCAACTAGAACATACGGTAGAGAGTCCGGCGCGGTGGAGTACACCAGGTCGAGCATCCTCGCCGAAAGAACGTTCGTATCCGAGAGATCGTCGTCCAGTAGCAGCGGTTCGGATCCGAGGTCGCCGCAACCGATCGAGTCGAACGCGAGAAACTCGCAGATACCTCAGAGACAACTGAAACGGTCCAACAGCACCGAGACCAACTGCAGCACCTCTTCGACTCTGACATCCGGTTCCCAAGCGAGTGCAGAGTCTCTATCCAGAAGGGTGCTGAAGCCCCAGAGCGTGGAGGCCATAAATCGCAAGAACATCTTGGCAAGCGCCAGATGTCGAAGCGGAAGGGATCTCAACGGATCGCCGTTGATTCAACGGAAGTTCGCCGACGACGAACGACGTTCGACCGTCGCCGAGAACGGTGACGACGTTCATCGAAAGAATCGCGTTAAGGGCACGATCCCGAGCTCGCAGAACGTCAAGATCGCTTACATAGAGGTGACGGATACGTTCGCCGAGAACGACTCTTTTCGAAAGGAGGAAGAACCCAAGCTACCCCCGAAGAGAAGTATGCCGCCTCCCGTTGTTCGACCCCCCAAGTCCGAGATGTTGGAACCCTCGAACGATCTCAAGATGTGGGTACGCACAGAGGCAAAGGCTCTAGCCAGATCCGCGGAAATAAAAGCGGCCGGTAAGGTCGAAAAGAAATCTCAAGACACGAACGTTGCCTCTGCGAATAAAACACCGAAGACCGCCAAGTCATCTAAGGTGGAGGAACAGCAACTCGACGCGATCGATCTACCGCCAACGAATAGGAATAACCCGATCAGCCCTAGCATGCAATCGAAAAGGTCCACCGAAGACCAGAACGACCTCCTAACGATCCTCACGACCAAGAGCAGATCCAGATCGGCTATACACGTGGACGAGGGTACCTTCGGGAGGTCAAAGAGCCAAATGAGCTTGGAGGACATCCTTAACGCGAAGGGAGACGTGAAGTTGTCGCGTGCTCAGAGCGTCGAGGCGCGACCAGAGAAAACCCCTGTTTCGTCTGTTACCCAAAGCAGACCTATGTGGGAGTCGAGGGACTCTCGATACGCCAGGCGAAGTTCGACTTCGAACGAATCTTGGAACGAGGACAAGCCGTTCGTATCGAAGATACCAACGTTGGGGAAGCCGAGATGCGTCGATAGCGGCGACGAAATGGCGGAGACGGAAAAATCGAAAATGGTGTCGAAGATTCCAACTACGAGAAACCTTGGTCGAAGGAGCGCCAGCGTGACGGACATGAAGAAGGCTCTGGAAAAGACGGAGGTGAACTGTTCGTCCGGGCAACATCTGAATCCTGGTACGGGTCATAACAGATTCCCGAGCCTCGACAGCAGCGTCGACGAGAACCTGTCCCCGATAGGAACGGACGTGGACACGGATAGATGTTGCAGCGAGCAATTCGGCAGCATCAGCTCGTTGGCCAGTAGCACGAGCCTGATATCCCAGCAAGAGTTGGCTCAATTGGTGGAAGAGGCGAGCCTCGAAGAAGCTCGGGGCGCTCACGACGTGATCGTTGTGCTGCTTCACAAGGAGAATCCTACGGGCAGCGTTGGAATCACTTTAGCCGGAGGTGCGGATTGCGAGGTCAAGGAAATTACGGTTCATCGAGTGTTGGCGCATTCTATAGCGGACAAGGATGGCCGCGTGCAACGAGGAGACAGGATTTTGAGTATAAACGGAAGAAGCACGCGCGGTCTTACGCACAGAGAGAGTTTGACGGTGCTCAAGCAGCCTAGATCGGAAGTGGTTTTGGTCGTTTCTCGAGCGAGAACCGAGGACGGGTGCAACAAGTTGAGGTCACGAACTGCCAGCGTTGAAACTATCATCGAAGGTGACCACTTTTACTCGATAGAGGATCGTTTCGGGACTACCGATCGAATCGAACGTTCGTTCGCGACAATTGAAGGGTTGTGCTCTTTGTTCGCAGGATTCGAGACGAACGGTATCGCGGAGGATACTGCTTGGGGGCCGCCCTCGGTCGTAGCGGTTTACAAAGACGGGGCTGGTTTGGGATTTAGTCTCGAAGGCGGCAGAGACAGCCCCCTCGGAGACAGGCCGTTGATGATTAAGAAAATATTTACCGGTACGTTGTATCGAAAGCTTAAGCGATATCGACGATAGTAAGCCAACTAAGCGATAAGAAATTTTCATTCGGTAATAATAATCTTTTTATCCGATACAGGAGGTGCTGCCGAAAAGACAGGTGCCTTGAAAGCAGGGGACCAATTATTAGAAGTGAATGGTAACGATGTAACACGAATGTCAAGGATCGAAGCATGGTCCCTCATGAAGAAACTACACGATGGCGAAGTAAACCTCCTAGTCAGGCACCCTGCCACCAAATCATCGTGAACGGTAGTCAATTAAAGTAAAAGTGTCGTGCGAAAATCACCAAGCCCACGATAGAATACGACTACAGATGTGCACGACCAGTAATTAACGAACAAACGAATTTTTAAATATATTACACCGAAATGCTACAAATTGCATGGAACGACGTACGAACCTGACGGTCGTAACGTAATTTGTAATAATTACTTCCCTTGCTAAAATGATGGAACGATACAATCTGTAATTGTATCGATGATCATTTAGCGAACCACGTGTTTGAAATTACGTTCTATCGCTAATATTTAGTTCGTCTTTTCTTACTTTTAAAGAATAACGAATATTTTGTTGAAATCCTACTTAGGATTTGCATATCGTGCTTATGTAATGAGGTAATGTTGTTGAATAATTGTTTGGATACCCGGTTATCAGGGAGATCTTTTTTCTTCTTCTTTCTTACTTTGTTGCGGTACCCTACAATCGACTGGAATTTATACATTCTAGCATTGTTTTCGATACATTTAATTATAGTGAAAGGAGGAGCGCTTGTCCTAATTACCTAGTATTACTATCTGCTGTAATGAAGTAACGAAGAAATAAACGAGCGTGTAAACCGACACGCTTCAGTCTTGCAATTTTGTGTCTACGCAAAAATTGATGACGCAAACGAAGAATAAGATTTGTAAATAAGAATGTGCAAAAATTCGAGATACGATGAATCTAGAAAAATGTCGTTTGTAATATACAAAAAAAAAAAAAAGAAATGTTAATATAACGCATTACGTTACTGGAGTATTTAAATATAGACTGACATTCGTTTCTAGATTTGCGTTTGTTAAAAATCGTGCTGTGATATGTATGTGTGTTAATAATAAAACTAACAAGCGTTAATAAAAATAAAAAACAATCCACAATAACAAAATATTTTAATCTAATATAGATATTTACGAAATATTCGATTAATCGCTTGATTCATTAATGTTGCGTATGCTTCTCTTTTCCCTACATATTTTCTATACACGATTCATGAATAGAAAACGCTGCAATGTACTTTTCTCGATAATAAATCATGCAATCGAACTGCAGAGAAATTGTTGTGTAATTGTTTTTTTAAAAGCCCTTAAAATATTTTTTCAAGTAACTTTCAAGGTATGTGGAGTTAAACATTTATTTGTATAAATTCAACAAAGATTTTGCTTATATGATACAAACATTTATGAACCTAAGGGAATTACCATAGGAAATCAATACCAAAAATATTTTTTTGGCACGCGATCCTCTTTAATACCCATCTTATCCATAATATCCATTTCAAACGTTTTCAATTTAACCTGGATATAGGTAAAGTAGAAATACAATAATTGTCCATTATGGATTATATGACCATTTACCTACCTCAAATGTTACCTCCTTCACGTCATCTGCCAGAGTGTCCTTAGCTTGTTCTTTGTATAATTCGGGGGATTTATAATCTACTGTTTCCTTCACCGATTCAGGAATTGGAATTATTTTACCGGTTCTACAAGAAACTCGCACGTAATCACCTTCGCTTGTGTATCGCCATTCTATTTGGGTACCTTTTCTAAAATATAGAAATGCACATACATGCGTGCGTGTGTAATACATTTATTTTCTTCCATAATACTTATGTTGTACTCACAGGTCAAAAGGATCCACCAATTGAACTTGAGAAGGTACCAACAGAGGCTGTTCCTGACGAGAATAAATACCAGGGAAGGTTTTAGTTTTGCCCATGCACACTAATTTAGTATTAAGTCCTTCGACGATAATCCAATTTCTCTCTTGTATGATATCTCTTACTAATCCTTGTTTCCCTTTATCAACACCAACTAATACTTCTACCTAAAAAGACGACATACTAACAGTGCAAAACAATTCATTGTACAAAAATACGATCAAACACAACATACACGATCTCCGCGGAAAAAACTCCAATCTTTAATGGGTTCGACGTGAATAAATTGTTTGTTTTTGCGAGGTTTGTTATCCAATTGAAAACCTTGTGTCCATGGTCGATGAATGGAAAAATAAAGTTTATCGCGTTTTATTGTACGTGGCAAATATTGTGGTTTCCCACGAGGCGTCCTCCAGTACACCTAATGTAAAATGAAACGTAAATACAAAATATAAACAATCGTGATGCGCTCAAGCTAAATTTTCGTACTTGTTCGGTGACACGGTCTATGTAACGATCCGGTAAATTCGAATATTTTTTAGACCAATAGGCCATCCTTGTGAATAACGCAGTTGTGAATTTCATTGTTTCCAATTATACGTTGAGATTAAAATAACAAAAGTTACATATAATAACAAAAGTACTCATGTAACGAGTTCACTCGTGTCGAATGTTGAGAGTAATCGGCATTGATCGGCACACCGCACCCACACACCACTGATATGTATACATATGTATACAATATCAGTGCCCCACATAGTGGGATTTGTATGTGTGTATGATTCATTACCAGTGCTGCCATCGATGGGAAAACGCCCAAGTTTGTAGTGAAAATAGTTCCTACTGTTTCTGCTAGATGGTGAGTGATTTACAATTAGTAGCGCCATCGGTGGGAAAATGCCCAAGTTTGTAGTGAAAAAAGTTCCCATCGTTTTTATAAGATGGCGCTGTTAACTAAAGGGTCGATAATTACATATGTAAAAACAGATAAATGTTTCATTGTAATACATTGAAATAGTATATTGTAATGTTACAAAGCAAAGAATCGCATTATTTATGTATTTCGGCAAAATAAAGAATAATTTATTAAAATATATTAGTGGCGTCATCTTACAGAAACGGCAGAAATTATTTTTACTACAAACTTGAGCGTTTTCCCACCGATGGCGCTACTAAAACCCATCGTGTACCGTCATAATTAAAAGTTACTATTTACATTACTTCATCTTTAGAAGGGACTGTACAACAAGACCGGGACCGGCTAGAACTTGCCTAGACAGAGTTCCAGTATTAGTAATTACTAATTAGTATAATTGAATGGCACAATATAAATGCAACCACAGGATAGTTTTATATATTCTTACCCTCCATAGTTTTATACATGAAAAATTCTCGTTGAAACTTTTGGCTAAAAACGCATACTCAAAATCGGTATCTGAAAAACGCCAGAGACTCTGGCCCACAGTTTCGCCTCTGTAAGAGTACTCTGAGATAGTTCGGATAATTTTACATCATCCTACGATCATATTATCTACAATGTTTCAAGGGCGCTATTTACAAAAAATATAACATTAAATTCATACGTAAATATAAAATATAATATTATAAGCTTATTAAACTATCTGATTGTGCTACTCTGACGTTTAATGAGTCTTATGTATCGTTACTAAAAAAGAACCGTATTATTAGTTTTCCGACTTGTATAGGTTAGGTGAACCTCTGCGTGCCGCACTTTGTTAGTATTGAAATGAAATTTAAACTGATATAAAATGTTGTTTTCGGTATTTAAGAAATGTGCATTTCGCATGCAAATGCGAAATTTTTCGACCTTTCTTGTGTGTAATAGGAGTCAAATTAAAAATAAATTAACTCATTATTGGACAGAATTGAAATGTACGAGCACAATAAATCCAAGTCTTACAGTACATCACCGGTCATTCAACACTGCGCCTGAAGAAAAAATATGTTTACCACCGCTAATGGATGTTCCACTAGTTTTATATCCTACTCTCTTTTCTTGGTTAAAAGTGTGGGCTTCTAGTCTCGCATTTTCGTTTACTCTTGATAAAGAGTTTAATCTCGAAGAGTTCACGAATGGAGCACTGCATGTACGATAATTATTTTTTTAAGAATAAAAAGTAGCTCGAAACAGTTACAAATAATATTCCTAGGCTCAAATAGATTTATACTGCAATATAAAATTGATGGATTAGATGAAAATCCAATTAGAAATTGATTTTAGGCAATACAATTAGTGTCCCGTTTGTTAGCTGCTCAACAGTATGAACAACTAAATGGCCTTGTAGAAGACAAGACAATAGAAATATTAAAGCAGAATGTTAGTCGTCTGACAGAAGAACAACGAAGTCTAATTACTATATCGGAAAACTGTATTCGTACAATTGGTCCTACTGATATGAGTATCAAGAAGAGTGAAACTGAAGGTATTTGTAGAAAAACATTAAGTGTAAACATTATTCTTATAAATCTTTACTTTCAATTAATAATAGTCTTCTCTTTCTCTAAGTCCTTTAATGTTATACAAGTTTATTCCAGATAATAATTATACTGTTGAAATATCAAAAATTGCTTATTACACTAAATCTGTAAGCATGCCTGAAGATGATTCACTGAAAGATCAGAATGTATTTGAGCAGATGGTTAAAAATTTTGACCAAAGATCTATCATTATTTGCAATTATACATTTGAAAGAAATTACGTGAATGGTATAGGTAGAGATTGGATTATAACTGTAGCAAATCATTTTACACCTGTAAGCAGAATTATAATTGAAGAAAATTTATAATATATAATGATTATACAATTTTTTTATATTTCATACAGAAAATATTTCGTGGAACGAATGTTTAAGCAAGAGGATATTTTTGGGTAGTCCACTTCCATGATGGCATACAATATGGAAAGTTAAACACAAGTATGAATTAAACAAATGTAAATATTTCATTTCTTTGTATTTTCCATGTCACATCCAGTTATGTATGTTGTTTTCTTTTATAAGAACTATATAATAAAAATATGAAAATGTATATTCAAGAATTTAATACTTTTAGTAAAGAGGGCATGTGATCTTGTACATGTAATAATGTTGCACCAATAGGAGTTCCATTTTTAGATACAGAAATAACTAGTGGCCCCTGAAATAGATTTCGAATTACAACACAATTTATAATCGTATAATATTTGATAATTGTACAATTATTTTAAAACAGGAAAAATACACACATCATTGGTTTGGGGGTTGTGAATCCAACACTCTTTCTTATGTTGTTTTTGATATAAATTATTTCGTTTTGTAGGAACAGAATTAAAGAAGTTGATTTCTACATTTTGCAAATTGGGTAGTTTCACCTTTATTAAATTTAAATAAGGTTCCATGAGTAATGATATGATAACTTTAGTGCATATATTTGCTTGCTTGAAGGTTATGTCAAATGTTTTTGTTGAGAATGATACAAGTTCATTCAAGTAATTGATGGGAGCTGGAAGACTTTCTGTAACATATTAATTCTTTTAAAGTAGTAACTGAAACACTAACAAACATTTACATATGAGATAAATAAAAATTAAGTTACTTTTATAAGTGGCATCGGTAAGACGAAATGGTTTTGTAATAGACAAAGCAAACATTGGAATTTGATTGCGTTCCTTGCCTTTAAAACAACTATCAATTGCTGAAAACGTAAATTGAACCAAAAAAATGTAATGTTCATATCAATGTAATAAAACGTACATGAACAATATATAAATTTAACAACTTACACTTCCCTACTGCTTCAAATAATTTTGTAATTGGTATATCTTTATTAATATATTTACTGAGGTGCGTCATATATAAGCCGTATTTACTATTTTCTCTTTCATAACTAGGTCGATGACTAGATGTAGAATATGCTTGAACTAAATTTCGAAGATTTTTCTTGCTTTTATATTCATTGACTGTAGGCACTTCATTAAAAATTTCAGGATTAAATTCTCTGAAAATATATTGTGTATTAAATACGAAGATAAAAAAATGATAAGAAAAAATAATGAAAAACTTGCTTCAAAGGTAAAGTTTGACACATGTCTAGAATAATAATTAAGAGCTCGGGTTCGTTTTCGAGGAATGCAGCCAATAGTTCGCTTTCGCATATGGCATCTTTTCTCAAATATGTTTTTGGAGCATCTACAGCAAGCATATAGTTTTCTTGCATCTTAAAACCATGTCCAGCAAAATAAAATAAACCTACGTAAAAAAAGATTTATTTTTTATATCTTAAAATCTTGGTATTGGTATTTTCTTATGTCTTACCATATACACCTTCCACTAGGGCTTTGCTAAATAATTTGATCACAGTTTTCATTTGGGTAATCGACAAATTTAAGAGACAGATTACTTCAAATCCTATTTCTTTAAGAAGAGTACCAATATAGGCAGCATCATTTTTAGGAGTTGGAAGACACTCATGGCAATCATACTCTCCGTTTGCTATAATTAAAGCTATTTTTGCAACTGCTTTTAACCTTGGAAGATCCATCTATCAAATAACAACAAAAAAATTAATATGTAATCATAAAATGAAAAAAAGAAATATGGTTACAGATTTATTATTACCATCACACAAGTTCTTTGGGTATAAACTTCGCTGACATTATTGTAAATATAACAATAGTATCTCCCTTCATGTTTTGAACTAAATTGTTTTATCTGAAATCATGAGTAACATAAAGACAACATTGGGTAACATAGGAAAAATAATTTCAGATAGTACTTTACTCACGTGTAATGTATTAGAACTTTCACCTTCTAATTTAGTATTATCATGAAACCATTGGTAACATGGTTCAGGATAGCCATTGGCTTTACAGCTAATTGTAAAGCTTTCTCCATTTTTAATTTCCAAAATTGGCTGTGGTTGTTCTTCTATCGTAACAGGTAAGGGACAAATTTGTACAGTTACTGCTTTTGAAATTAAAGTAGATAGAAGAATTCCATCATTTTTAACTTGGAGTACTTTACATTTATATTCTCCTGCTTGAGATGTACTGTGGAAGATTGGGAATAAGTGAAATGCTAATGGTTAATGATATTTAGATATCGTACCTATTAATAATAATACTGAATTCGCTAGATGAAGAATCTTGCAATTCCCTATTATTGTGATACCATATGTAACTTGGTGGTGGCATTCCTACTGCTTTACAACACAAATGTAGATGATGCCCAAATGATATTTTTATATTATCTGTTTGTAATTTTTCTATAGGATGTTCAATAATTTTCAGAGGTTCTAAAAACATTATAATTACAATGGTAAATTTATTAAATACAGAATTGATACCTGTGTCAGATATTGTACCTGGGTCAGATATGATGGAAAGAATCTTATACAATCCGCAATCATCCAGCAATGTACGCAAGATTTCTATGGTACACATTTTAATATTTAATTCAAAGAGCAGCCTTTGCCCTGGGGAATCATGTGGTTGTTTTCCTTCTTTTAAAGATTGTATCCATGATGAGCTGTACCCCAATTTGTTGAAATAGAATTAGAAATGAATAATTATGCTTTGCTTTATTGCTATTTTCTTTATTACCATGGATATTGAAGTAGTTCAGCAACATAAGTTGCTAACGTTATCCAAGCTGCATCTTTGTCCAATGCATTAACCAATTCGTTATATAAATTTGTTGGTAAACATTCGATATACGTATTTTCATCGAATTTTGACATTTTTATTACCGTCGCATTTCAAATTTTGATTGTGTTTATAATAAAAAAACTGTTGAAATAGAATATTTCTTAAAGAAATTGAATATAAAAAGAATGAAGAAACTTTCTCCTCATATCTAAACTTTCTTGACTTCTACAAGGAAAATGAAGAACACATTCTAGTGCTTTCTGTCATAGTATGCAAAGATGATACATCCATCTATTTCCTTCTCGATCGATACAGAAGAAGCATACGATCAACTCGAAGAAACCTAAGTTCATAAAAACAGTAACAAAGTAGAAAATAACAGGACCAGGATTTTCTCAAGTGTATACGTTAATCTACGTATCGCTAATTAACAGCACTCGTTCCTCCATCTAAGATTTTCATTTGTCATAGTGATTTAAATGGAATTTTATGATAACGAAATAATGAAATTTAAACAAACATTCCAGTACTTTTATTTTAACATTAATCAGTATTTCAATTTTTACAAAAATTACGTGATTAACTGATTTCTCTAATATTTATTTATTCTGCTCGTAGGTCGATGCCTCCAAATGACTCCTTGATCAATGGCTAAAGCTAACTCTGCAAACGACTACGATAATTCCAAGTTTTGCAACTATAGGAAGTAATGCTTCGACCACGTTCCCGAGAGAAATTACTAGGAAATAAATTTGCATTATTTAGACAGAGAAAAGAAGATGTTAAAGGTACAACGAACAATTTGATCATTATATACTAAAAAGTAAACAATATTTAATTTCTGTTCGCTCGAATAGGTACTTTATAACGATAGGCAGGTAATAATCTGCATTATCTGGTGAGCAGAACGTCTGTAACAGAGGTAAAGAGCTTAGCTTTTCGGAACACCCCGGAAAAGTGTCGTCTGGTTCTTATTGCGGGTGCGACGGAGTGGTGGGGGATGATCGCAACCAATGAGCCCGCGAAAAGCGGCTCCTGCGCGATGCGCGTGGCGCGCTGCGCCGCATAATCTTGCGTATCAGTGATCGGCAGTGCCATCCAGAAGGCAGTAGCTTACGGGTTCGAACGTGGTGTGTAATTTATCGAGCCCTTATTGGTGCGATCGGTGAAAAAAGGGCAACGCGCGAGCGGGGGTAGAGGCGCGCACGGTAGTGGGTGCACGATAACTCGCGAGTGTTGGGAAAATCTAGTGCCCGAGCCATCATGGCGAACCCACGGAAATTCAGTGACAAGATCGCGCTGCACAAACAGAAGGAAGCGCAAGAGAGAGCGGCGTTCGAGGCGATCATGCGAGAGGTTTCGGACGTCACAAGCAGAGTAAGGAAATCCCAGTAGGTCTTTGCCATTGAGAGGGATACGTCGTGGTATTCTCTGTGCACTTTCCACGGCTCGGATGTAGAACGTAAACAACAACGAGTGCTCTCTCTCTCCTCGTTGCGCCGTGGTTGCCGTCGGCTGTATATGTCTTCTCTCTCTCTCTCTCTCTCTCTCTCTCTCTCTCTCTCTTCCTCTCTTTCTCTGTATGTAATGTGCTTCGTTTCTCGCTCCTCGTTACACGTTACATGGACATGCGTCCACATGAGTGCGTGGTTAGCTACACAATTCCGTGTGTGTGTGTGTGTGTGTGTGTGTGTTAACGCGACCACACAACTACGCAAGTGTGCGTGGTCGCTCGCTGGCACTCTGTTTCTCTCTCCTATCCGTCGTTGCCTTCGTCGACGTCGATGTGTGTGTTTCCGTCGCGACGCGTGCAACGAGACGCGCACGAATACGTGTATGCACGAAGCGGGTATATATGCTCTGGTGTCACTATGCCGAACGTGCTGTACGCTTGTTCGCCACTGTCCGTGGTGTAAGTTCCTAATAAATGCATACGTGTGCATACGATCGACGATCGTATCCATCCTGCTGATACGTTTGTACGGACGACGCCAATACTTTCCACAAAAAACTTTCGACTTCTCCAACCCAATCGGATTTGCAACATGTTATCGAACGCAGGCGATTAGAAAACTCTTCGTTCTCCGCGATTTTTCGTTGTTGGAAGGATCCACGTATCATATCTCGTCCATTGATCGTATTTTTAAGTTAACGCGACACACTTTTCCATCCACGATCGATCGAGGCCAAATGGAACTGTTGCTTGTCGAAAATGCGCGTTTCGTTCGATTTTTCGTTCTCGTTCGCTAACCCTCGAGGTATTTCCACCGACGAGTATCAGTCAGGTTGGGATCATTGCGTCCCGGTAGCCTCGAATATACATATCTTTACGAAGTTGTTTAAACTGCGTCTTTCGAAATCGCGTGTTCCCGCTCCGTTCTGTGGTCGACTTTGGCACAGAATCCATTTTAGGTGGTTTTCTTACTCGATCCGATTATTAGCGAACCCGAGCATTATTAGAAACTAAGAGTGTTTATTGAATCGGTGTTTCTCAAATTGTAGTCCGTGAGTGAAAAAGAAGTACCTCATAAATGTCAAATTTGTTGTATAGGTTTATTTTGATTAATACGGAATAGATACGTCAAATACGAGACGTTTGGTCAAAGCAAATGCGATATACGACGCATACGAATGTACAATTATACGCGTAAAACGTTGCGTTATCCACATTCTCGCACAAGACGAAGTCTCTTTTCCGCCGTCCTTGTATTTTAACCCTTGCTAGAAGACATATTGCGTATTTTGAATACGCGAAAGGTAATCGGTTCGCCCAAACTTACGCTGGAGGTGCCAGAAGGAATTCGTTTTCCGTTAACCGTGACACTTCCGGTTCCGCGCATCGAAACGTGTCTCTAGTTCGTTCTTGCGCGAAATTGGCTTCTCAACATTCATGGTTTCGAGTAACGAGACGAATCAGTCTTTGCGACCGACGGAATCGCGTTCCAGTCTCAGCGATTCGTGACCCTTAATCAATAAAAATTTTATATCATTAGCGAAACTTTTCAACTTATCATCGAAATTATCGCTCACGTTTTCGAAGCTTTGCTTCGTGCTTTCGCGCGTCTTCGATTAAAACGGACCATTGTCTTTCGCCATTTGAACTAGTATTTCACATTGTACTCGGTGTCTGAATGTGTTTGCCTCGAGCGAATTACTAGGAATAAAACCGTGCTTCTATTTCCACGGTTGTGCAAATAAACCGGCAATTCCGTACGCTATTTGAGAGACAACCCGAACAAAATAGTAACGTATTTTGTGTCGATTATGGTTAAACTCGGAGGTAAGATAACCGGTTCGTTGCTCGTTACTCGAGGGGTATATACATTTTATTCAGCTCCGTTCGGAACCCACGTGGACGAAACGATTGCACGTGTTTCTTCAGCGGTCGCGCGAGACACGAATTTTAACATCCTCGTCCGAACGTAACGCCCTCTTTCACGCCACGAGCACTACGTCGCGGGAATCGCGCGAAATTGGCGCGTTTTTCGCGTCGTCACGGCGTATAACCGTATCACGATTACGTAATGCAGCAACGTTGCGCTGAACGCGGAAGCTGCGATACGCTGCGATGTCCGTATTCATTGTACGATCGGCCGTTATCATGGCACGATCGCTCGATCCAAACACCGCCGTGTTTTCAGATGTCCGTCAGACTCCACGCGCCCGGCATTCTCTTTATTTTTCTTTCGCGCTTCTCCGATTTTATCCGACGAGCACTGGAATGCGAGGGTGATTTCCGAATGCTCTATGTATTTGTCTTAAATCGCGAGGTGCCATACCAATAGATTTCTCTGCATGGAAAATTCGAGAAACACTGGTTTAACGTCTCTTTCTTCCCTCTTGGATTCAATCTCCGATTCGAGCTACAATTTTTCGTCGAATGAGCCAACTACGAACGTTCGATTCACTGCATCGTTAACGACCTCGATAACGATTACGAACGTGGTTATTAATCGCTCGAAGCGACCGATAACCATACGTTTTTTTGCAAACCAATCGTCGAAATCATCGCGCTTTGATGTTGTCGAACGACGAACGGTGTCTCAAAGCTTCGAACAGATTAAATTTCCAGGTCTGGCGAAGCTTTCCACAAAAGTGGAAAATAACGCGCGTTCGCTAACCGAATCGGAGGTTCGCGTACAAAGTTCGCGATAAGGCAGTCGGGATAGGCAAATGCGAAACAGGTTGTGCTCGAAGAGGAAAGAAAGGCGTATACTTTCACGACAGACATTATGTAATACTTATCCGCGAGTAATACTGTTGGAAGCTATACGACGGTGAATGCGCTTTTATTGCGCAGCGTGGCTGGGGTTCATTATAATAGATTAGCGGATTTTTATTTAAGCAAGCGATCTTGTGGTCGACATCGAGACAATTTCAACGACCTACGACACCACGACTTTGAAGTAACTTCGAGGAAGAGAAACGAGCTTAAATTGGAACGATATCGAAATAATCAATCGAGCGAAAAATAATAAATCAGATTATTACATTAGGTATCGAAAATGCCGGCGGCTACGATACATTTCTCCACGCGATAAGCGAATGATCGAATGGCATTCCTTGTATAGCAATTCCGTGGTAGATCGATAATACATGTTGCGCGTATTTAAAAAGCTCATTCACAAAAACGCTGTGTTTAGTAGGGTTCCGTCGGAGTCGAATGCTTTCGGTTCGTTACGCTTCGAACACTGTACGAGCTGAATTATTATTCCCCCTACATTTTAAGGTGTTTTTACGTTACTCCAGCTTACTTATTTTTCTTTTGAGGTAACTTCGAGATGTGTAAAAAATGTCGTTAACCTTGAAATAATCTCTAAGACATCGAGGAGATTTTCACCTTCTGGGAATTTGTACCTAACCACTTTATGATTACACGGTCGTTAGGTAGCCTGTGGCGATCGTCGTTTGTTTACGCTCGCACCGCGTTTCTTCTCGACTTCGCGACACGATCGATCCCGCGGGCGATAAATCGGTCCCGTTACATTCCTCAAGAAATTTCCCTAAGAGTTTCCTAAACTTCTACGGTCGGCCACTCCTGCATCGATCGAGGAGTTGGAATCCGCACGTAGAATAAATTCGATGATGAAACCGTGGAACGACGAGAGAGAGAGAGAGAGAGAGAGAGAGAGAGAGAGAGAGAGAGAGAGAGAGAGAGAGAGAGAGA